GGAAGAATGGGCCAAGTCCAACTTTGACACTGATTTCGGTGACTATGTCAACACGTTCGCCATCAATACCGCGTCGGTTTGGTTCACCAGCATGGCCTTTCTCCCACTTTTGAAGAAGGGCAACGAGAAGGGAAATGTCGAGCAGACTTCACAAGTCATCGTTACCAGCTCCATCGCCGCATTCAACAAGAAAGCCCCCGGCGGTTGGGCATATGGACAGTCCAAGGCTGGAGCTGTTCTAGCAGCCAAGCAGCTTGCTGTTGCCCTTCCCCAGTGGAACATCAGAGCCAACTGCATCGCTCCTGGATGTGAGTCAATTCATCGATCAGTCAAAAGGTGGCATTCTAACGTTGCACAGTATTCCCCAGCGAAATGTCAGAGCCTATCGTCAAGATGTACACCGATGAGTCGGGACAGCCTGGTGCCGTGCCAACCTCAATGGCACCACTTCGAAGAATGGGAGATGAGAAGGATATGTCGGGAACCTTCCTATATCTTGCATCTCGAGCGGGTGGATATTGTAATGGCACAGTCATAGTCGTCGATGGCGGTCGCTTGAGTAACTTTCCGACCACGAATTAGGACAAGGTCTTGGATCGCAGGATAGGATACATTGGATACAAAGTTCCGATAGCTTTCTTGTTGTTGTTACACGAATCTCAAAGTATTGTGCATGTCTAAAAGTCTTCCAGCCAGCCCTAGGCTCGTTAGAATTGAGACCTCATTCAGGCTAGGGTTTCTTACAATACTGCGCCGGTCACTCTTCAAGATGGAGGATATACTGGTACCTCTATCCTCAAGCTGGAGATTCGTCATCGCGCTATGTCTCCATTGGTAATTGCCGAGATCTCACATGAAAAAGATCGAGGGGGCTGGCAGGCTGGTACCCGAAGTGCCGTTCGGTCAAGTAGGGCTTCACCTCCAGTCATAGCAAAGTTACTCATTTGAGACTGGTGAAACTGGCCTGCAATGACTGCATGATTATCACATTCGATAAGCCATTGAAGGTTCAATTATATGGCGGCTTGATAGGCTCCTGCATCGTATTCACGATACACCGCATTCCAAGCCACCCTGGTTGCTGCCTTGAGGGATCTGCTAGCTGTGAATCCTCAAACACTGTCTACGGAACCATTGGCTCGTTAGCGGGGGGTCGCTGAGGTGAGACTGAGCTGGCGGGAGGCCCTCTTAGCGGAGACGGAAGGATGACAGAAAGCCTGGAACTGAAAGCAGCGAATTTATTTGAAGACGAGCCAATTCTTTTCTGACACCCATGCGACGCTTGGGCGCTTCGCCACAACTCTCAGCGGCATTGCTGCCTGTAGTCCTACGGGAGTACAGGGGGTTTGTGTGCAACACGGCACGGGAAGTGACTCAGCCCGGCAAGGCATCTTGGCAATCAATCTTCGTACCGAATTCACGATGATAATGCATGCAGGCATGTGTGAGCTGCCTGATTAGGCCAGAAGCTTTTGCAATGTGCATTTTGTTATAAGACAACATCATCTCCAGACCTCAACACCATCATATCCATTCACACCAACTCCAACCATATCTCCTTCATTCACAATGGCGCGTACTGCACAAACAAGGGCCAAGCGTGGCGGCCGTCGCACCACAAACAACACGCGCAACACACGCAATCACAAAGAGAATGATCTCGAATACATGGCTCTCAAGCAAGAGGCAGAGCGACGCGAGCGCATCCTCGCTGACCGACGCCGAACTGCTGCCAAATGGCGGCCCAAGATTCCAGAAGTCCGAAAGGTCAACTTCGAGAACTTCAAGAACAGATTCCAAGACATCGATGAGCCTGATTATGCCATTGACGTTCTGATGTCGGGTACTGGTACCCAGGCTCAGATCCGTCGCGAGCATGGTCTTCGTCGACGTGAGGAGATGGCTCGTCTCCGTCAGAAGTACATGTACTACCCTGGCGGCGGTGTTATTGAGACACCTCATCGCAAGACCGACGCCTATGAGAGGGCTCGTCGCGAGAGGGATAGCCAGCCATCTTCCGACTCTGAGATCCAGCGCATTCGTATCCAGTCCCAGCCCATCTTGGGCCATTTGACAGCTCTTATGAACGACACCGAGAAGCGATCGTCTCCCCGGACATTCATGCGACCCTTCAAGACTCTAGTCCACTTCCAACCCAAGATGCGAGAGATCCTTGCGACTCTTGAAGATAAGTGGGCTGACTTCGAGGACATTGGCAGCGAAAGCTCCGAGGTTGTCGATGTCGCTGAAGAGACTGAGGCAGAGGTTGTTGATGAGGAAGAGGCTGCTGAAGATGGTGATGATGCCGCTTCTCAAACATCTGAGGCTTCAAGCATTGAGTCGGTTGACTCCGACGCCGATGAAGACTACGATAATTTGATGGACAGTCCCGAGGCGCTGCGCGACATGCGATGCTACGTTGACTTTGTCGACAAGGAAGTGCTTCCTCTTTACAACCGCTTCGAGGGCTCAACCGCCGACCGCGTCAAGTTCGACGATCTCTGGTCTCTCTTCCGCGTCGGCGATCTCATCTATATGCCTGCATCTGGCGAGACAGGCGGCCGTTACCACGAGATCTGGCGTGTCTACAAGGTCCGAAGCCCCGAGCCCGAGACATCCTATCCCACCTCTGGCTGGGACTTCTTCGCAGATGAGCAGCAGATCGATGAGAACTCCAAGTTCAAGATCTCCGCTTACTACATCGATCATGATGGCAACACCTTTGGCGCTGTCCGACGCAAGTTCGAGATTGAATCGTTCATTGGAGAGCGATCAATTGACTCCCTCGAGGCCTTCCCCATCCGATACCGCCACGACTACAAGCAGCTTCTCAGCTCAATGCAAGACCAGGGCCGCAAGTTCATCAACTACTTGGATGACCGCCACCAGCAGTACAGCGCTTGGACTTTGACAAGGAACCCTCCCTCTCATCGCACCGAGCCTGAGGAGGAGATCCTCGACAATGAGGACTACGAGAAGATGCGACATCCTGAGTTCGTCGAGAGCGATGTCATCGTCGATCTCACAGAGGCTTACCAGAAGATGCCTGACTGGCGCCCGCGATTTCATCAGCTCACGATCATCAAGTCTTCGCGATGCGAGATCAAGGACGACGAGATGCCTATCCAGCACTGGTTCAACGGCACCCGCCAGAACCTGGCATACTCCCAGAACGAGATCATCCAGCACGCCGATGGTGTCGAGGCCCGTCAGCGAAGAGATAACCTTGCGGTTGACGCTTTCCTCCGCGTCCGTGTTAAGGGCAGCCGAACCTTTGAGACCAACCCCAAGGCTTTGGAGCTTCGCGATGAGGATCTTGTTCTTCTTCCTAAGCGTATGTTCGCTTATGCTCTTCGTGAGCGTCGCTTCTTGCCAATTGATCTCAACGTTCTCAAGCCCGTGCGACGCGAGCCTGGTGTCTTTGAGAACCTCCGCATCCAGAGCGACTACAAGGATGTTGTGCGCGGACTTGTCATGTCGCACTTCCAGCGGAAGGTCCTTGAGCGCAAGTATGCTGATGCCGCGACCGAGGGACCTAGCCAGGATCTGATCCAGGGCAAGGGCCGTGGTCTTGTTGTGCTTCTGCATGGTGTTCCTGGTGTCGGAAAGACTGCTACTGCAGAGGCTGTCGCTATGGAGAACCGCAAGCCGTTGTTTGTCATCACTTGTGGCGATCTCGGTCTCACACCGCATGAGGTTGAGTCTTCGCTGAAGAACGTCTTCCGCCTCGCCCATCTCTGGGACTGTGTTCTTCTGCTTGACGAGGCGGACGTGTTCCTCTCTCAGCGATCCAAGCAGGACATGAAGCGTAATGCTCTTGTCTCCGTCTTCCTCCGAGTTCTGGAGTACTACAACGGTCTTCTCTTCCTGACTACCAACCGAGTCGGCACAATCGACGAGGCCTTCAAGTCTCGTATCCACCTCTCCCTGTACTACCCTCCTTTGGACAAGACTCAGACACGCGACATCTTCCGCCTCAACATCGGCAAGCTCAAGCAGATTGAGGCCGAGCGCCACCGCATGACCGGGGAACCCGCTCTCGTCATTAAAGAGAACGAGATCATCGACTTTGCCGCCAAGCACTACGAAGAGCTTGCCCGATCAACTGGATGTTGGAACGGCCGACAGATCCGAAGCGCATTCCAGATCGCTTCCAGTCTCGCCATCCACAACTACGCCAACCAAGCCGAGGCAGCTCGATCCCGTGGCCAGAGTCCTCCTGCGGCTCCTGTTCTAGACAGGACTTGGTTTGAGAAGGTTCAGATGTCGACGCAGAGCTTTGACCGGCACATGAAGAAGGAGGCTGGTAGCTATGACTCTGAGATGCCGATGCGAAGCACATTCCAGGAGAGCAGGTTTGACTAAGGTTGGGTTCTGCAGCTGGACTGAGGAGATGATTGACCATGACTGCATTTTCTTTTTATTTCTTTGGCGTTACAAGTATGAGACACTCGCAGCAACATCTTTCAACTCTGAGATGAGCAATACAATACGATTCACTTAAAAGCACACCAGGCTATGAAACTTAAAACATATAAACAAAACCAATGGCGTTCCTTTTTGACTTTTTTAAATTTGAATGTTTACAATTAATCCTTTTGCGACCGTTTTATTCTACTCGTTTCCTTGAAACAGCCTAACCTAAGCCCTCTCATTTGTCTCCAATTCTCTGACATCGATGTCAATCTCCAGCAACCTCACATGCTGGCGAGAAATTGCATCGTTGGAATAAGATATTATCGATTTCGTGCATGGTGCCCAACTTTGATTTTGTTGCACGCGACAAGACGTGGCCTTGAGCTCATGGTTGGACATCTGAGACAGTCTTAGGAATGTTTCTTCTCAACCAATCGCCGCCTTGGGTTAAAGTTCAATCATTTGAGGCTGACATCACTAACCTCGGAAGATACCCGCGTTACATCTCTCACAAACTCGTTGTGTAAAGCAGCAGGTTGAACACGCGTCTTCTGGGCTATTATATACATTCTTTCCTATTGAAAATGGCTGCTTCTACGAGCCCCGACCCACCGCTATTCGAACCGGGCACGCGCTCGAAAATCTCCCGTTATGCTATGAGATACGCTAAACAGCATCCGGGAGACTTTTTGTCATATCTGCGTCGCGTTTGGCCAGAACAAAGAGGGAGACTAGTCGAGAACCCGGGCTGCTTGAGGTTTCTTGGCGGCCTCAAGGTTCTCCTCAAGAATGGAGAGACGCGCAAGATCGACAGGACCTGGATTCCGCTCCCGGAACTGCGGCGCCTCCGAGGTCGTTACTTGTTGCCCGGAGAAAAGGCCTCCTTCCCTCGTCTTGACCCCCCTCTCCCAGAAGATGGTACACTGGGAGAATGGGAGTTTCTGCCCCAGCTTGGATGTCAAACCGCGTCTGATCTACGCTTCTGGGTTAATACCTTGTTGGATGTCAAGTTCAATGCAAAGTACAGGATTACATCCCCGCAACGAGTCAAGGATTTGTATCTATTACTGTATGAGGTTTATCTGGAAGCCATGGATGGTAACGAAGGTGAAAGGAAGGTCGCAAATTGTATCAGGTATGGCCAATTTTGATTGTATGTGCGCTTACAGAGTTTGGCTGATGGTAAAAATAGGTATAATTTCACAAGAGGCTCGCTCCTCCTACAGTCCCAAGGCTGGAGTAACCCTGATCTTTCATTTCGCTATGGCCCCCAGGGCATGTACTCGAAGAAGTGCTTGATGCCACTGCCAGCTGAGTGGAACGCAACACCATCCGAGAGCGACTTGATCGCAAAATTCTACAAAGAAGTGCTTCTTTTAGAAGACGTGACCAGATACACTGTCATTCTTGAGGAGCTCAAGCTACATCGAACAAAGTATCGAACAAAGTATCCCTATAAAGGGAGCCGGTTTCAAGACATATCCGAGTTATATCAAGGTCTTGAGGACCTTGATGTGTGTGGCCGAGACAGAGAATGGATGATGTCTGTATTCCCTGGAAGGAAAGCAATAGAAATACGGAGAGTGTACTGACCGTACGCAACAGACAGGACTTCAAGAACCATCCATATATCTTTTGCCCCCCTAAAACTCAGTGGGATTCTGCATGGAACTACCATAGAGACTGTGTTTGGTCGCATGGCGTGGAGCTGCCTTATCAACCCGACCTCAGTCGACGTTACCCTCATCTGAAATCATTCTTCGTAAAATGCCTTGGGATACAAGAGTTAACGATGAATGCCCTTCAGAAACAAATTCTCGGGGTCGCAGACGACGCCCCCGCTCACGAGACTCTCACTCTGATGTCTCATCTCAACAATTTGGTTCAGAACTTGGACGAACTCATGGATCCTAGCGAGTTCACCTCTAAGCCCATTTTCCTCATTCTTACTCCCACAGGGGAGCTAAAACGTGTCTGTGGTGACGCGGCTTTCTTCATTGTTGACGATATGCGCCTTTTCAACTTGTTCAGGGACCGGGCCAACATGCTTGCTTTTACACGCAGTCAAGTTATGCGGCTCGAACCTCTGTTCAAGTGGCTTGGCATGCAAAAGAAGGATTTAACAGTTCAGGCTAAGTACGCTGTTTACTGGCCTTGTGAGAGCAAGCCACGCGTGATTGAATGGGATATTGGCCAGAAGGCCGAGGCGCTCCCACAGTAAGCTCTTCCGAGCCAAACAACTCATTCTTGTATGTGAGACTAAAAGTTGCGTCAGGATCGCTGCTTATTTCAGAAGTTGTCGAACGGAAAGAGACTCTGACAGAGAGGAGCTTCTCCAGGCTTTGCGACAGGCTGAGATGATGGAAGTGGAAGATATGTGGTCTGAGACAAAGCTAACTGGCATAGACATGAAGGATAAGCAGCATAGCCCGGATGACCCAGGGAACGTGGCTCAAGATACGTACCCTCAGCTGAAGTTGAGCACTTCGTTCGGCTGGGAAGAAAGCAGACTTGTCGCTCATGTTCCAGCTGACAAAAAGCAACAACAATTGGCAATTGCTGTTGCATTACCTCGCCTCCTGATGGAGTGGCTCATGACATCACCGAAGTATTATGTCGGCGACCGTGGCGGCCGTGTTGACATATCTGAGCTTGGTGTAAGCCTCGTGAAGAGTGTATTGAATGCACCTCCTGAGTTGGCGAATGACATACTCGAGACCGAAGGCATTGAACAGCCTATCACAATCCAACGGGATCGAGAGTAAGTCATCTCACTTACAGGTTTTACGAGGGGAAGCTAATAGGTTACAGTGCACCCGACATTGAAGAATGCTTGGATCGGATGGAGGCTCAGGAGGTGAAAGCGCCACCACAAGCGACACGGATGCCGGCACCTGCATCACAGTACAAGCACCTCCAGTCGAGATCCCCTCGGAACAGCTTCCTGCTACTCAAGCGCCCGAACCTGATGAGGATGGGCGCTTGTATGAGCTTGTAGGCACGGCCCCCATCACCGAAACTATGTCGAGGCGCAAGATCCTGATACCCCATACAAGAAAGCGGCGGCCGAGCGCTGAGGTTTCGGCATCTACAGAACCCTCTCCGTTTTTAGAGTCAACGGCTCGTGAGATGCATTAGCTAGTAGCGAGTAACAAGATAGTTGCGCAATTTGAATATGGATCTGTAAGCTCAAATGTTACTTTGCGCAGCAGCAAGCATATAATTAATTGATGGAATTCAAGGCGTTGAACTTCACCCTGGAATAGCCCTCGGATGTGAGACCGCTGCCACGGATCGGTAGCACAGTTGGTGCACCCACCAGCAGTGAACAACTCCAGATGGAATCCAAGCCCAGCACAACAACACCGCAGCGGCGGTTCCTTGTGCCCAGGTCAAGAAGAAGGTCTACGCCTTGCTCCCCGGAGGAGGCTGCGCCTGTTTCTTCTACCCTGGATGATACATCCACCGTGGATGCATTGACCTGTCGCCTGAAGCTTCTTAGAATCTCAGATACTGGACCGGGAGCTTCGAAGCTATGTAGTGGCTTCAGCTCAAAGGAGATAAGCCGAGGTTGTCGTTTTCGGCCGTTTTCTGATTCACAGTCGGCTCTATCTACTTCGTTTGTTTTTCTAGGTGCTGGAGCAAAAGTAGTCGTTTGAAACGGAGTTGTTTGCTCTTGTTATGTATTCACGCGGTTCGTTTTTGATCATCTTACGCGCGTTTCTAAGTTATGTTGATTTAGTTAATCGAGTCATTGTGAGATTGAATTTGAGCGAAGGTTAAAACTCTGCATCTGTTAAACATTGTACCCGTCGGCAGTGGGGACAAAGAGCCAGAACTGGTCCGGGTCAAATAATTGTCCACTGGTGATCTCAACTTGACGGGCTGAGTCTTATCGTCTTCGGGATATGAAGTTGAACACGCCTGTAGATCACTCCAACTTTGGGTTCAAACCATTTATGACTCACTCAACGAGGCTTTATTTAACTGAAAACTTAGTCCTAAATACGACCGAATCTCCAACAAGCACCTTTAAAAATCTCATCAGGGTATCTGGCTTTTAAGCCAAAAGCAATATATTACCTAGGCCACAGTAAGGGCGACGAATACTTTGCCCGTATGTGTTTATTGGTGTTCTTTACCTTGATGCCGTGGGGGCTGGCGCCTCTTCTAACCCCTCAACCTTATCAGAGTAGATCACTCCAGAAACCATTTTCCAATGGCGTTAATTAGGAAAAGCCTGATATTTCGGGGCTGTATTCCGAATTTCTCCTTGCTTGTTCCGGATATGCTTCCTTGAGCGGTAGCTGAAAGGAACCAAAATTCGCATCACACGTTGGCGCATCTTTATTGGAGGTGAGGGTTGCTGTCGTCGAATTCTCGCACTGTACGCACCGCGATTTTTGTTTATAATTTGGGCTTTATCGTGACGGTTGAGGGGCCTGTACCTTGCTCGATGACGGCCCAACCCCGCCATAGATGGCGCGTTTTGGTGGATGCCCAAGTCCGGAACACTGTACCTAACGTATTGATACTGTGAGTCGAGGCTGGTCTACGTGCTTTTTTAAATACGCCATCAGAAACCTTGCGAGACGCGTTTTCCTACAGTTGAACTTCGACCTACGATTCAAGCTCAGTCATCAGATCTAACATCTTTTCACAATGTTCAAGCCCCTGGAATCGGATCCGCCCCTTATCGACAAAGGCGATCCAGAGCGTCTATCACCAGCCGCACTTCGCCTCGCAGACGACCAACCTGATGAGTTTGTTATATACCTTCGTCGCGTCTGGGACACAAACAGACGGCAACTCCTCGATTCGGCCAAGTTGTTGCATCAACTGAGGCAGGTCAAGGTCTCTTGTCACGACCAACGTCTTCATCCCCTTTCTGAGGCATGGGTTCCTACAGAAAATATCATCAGTATTTGGTCACTACTCCTTTTGCCTGAGGAACGCTTCCGTTTCCTTATACTTAAAGACCAGAAACTGAAACACGTGGATCATTCCTCATGGAACTTCCTCAGGGAGATCGGTTGCCAATACGAAGCCGGCGACCAATTCCTCACTGATCTTCTGCTTACTATCAAGAAAACATGGCCAACAAATGTCAAAGATCCGGGACATGTCCTTGGGATCTACGCCTACTTCCTTCGTCGCCTGAATCGTACGCAGCCATACCCGGATGGCACCTATTACAAACTTCTATCCGACGACAAACTTTGGTAAGGGTGTACTCACTGTTGTATCAGTCATATTCTGACCTTGTAGGGACAATTTCAATGCTTGCGAACTTCTCCTCTATAAGGGCGAATGGATAAAACCCAGTTCATGCTTTCTCCGTGCGCCAGATTATGTGCGTTCGAAGAGAGTCCTCACGCTAGCAGCTGGAACTGACGCAACCCCCCTTGAAACACTGGCGATACGTCATTTCTATCAACTGGTTCTCTGTATTCCGAACTTTCCTGACACCTGGGCTGCCATCATCGATGAGCTGAGAGGTCTCCAGCGTTCCACCGGTCAAACATCTATTCAACAAGTGACTGAACTTTATCGTGCTTTGAATGAGCTCCAGTTATCGGAACCAGAGAGAGTCACCATACGGTTAGTATGTCGCGATCTCACAAACCAGTTTGCTGACTTGGAGCAATAGGAAACTATTCCTGCAGCACAGCTTGATCGCCATCGAGCAGGGTAGCGTCATCGCGTGGCAAACTCATCTCACATATATTTGGTCGCCGCTCCACAAAATTAGGAACTTGGCCGAGTTGAGTAGACCATATCCATATCTGAAGGACTTCTTCGTGGGCCTCCTCAAGGTTGAAGAGGCTACGGAGAAAACCGTCTTGTCACGCATGTCTTACTGGATACCAGAATTCGAGATTCGAGACCTTTTCAGCCTTCTCAATGGCCTGATTGCAACGTCCAAAATATGAATGAAACCTGACAAACTCTTGACCCAGCGAATATTTCTTGGAAAATGGAACGGCGAAAAATACCGCTTTGTTGGTTCCACGGAAGAGTTCTTTATTCCTGATGATGAGGAGTTTGCGAACACATTCATGGACAAGCTCCCTCTCCTTGACATAACCGCGGAAGAGATCGCGCTTCTAGATACGCTGTTCACGTGGCTGGGTTTCAAGGATCGCTACTTGTCAAAGCTTGTCTACCGCATGTGCTATTCTCCCCCAGCTGCACAGAAGCAGAAGATTGAATGGGATATAGCGCAGAGGGCGGAAGGCATTCTTCGGTAAGTTTCATAACCTCTGAATTACTGGACGGGGCTAATATGTCAGCCAGAATCGCCCTTCATTGCGGTAGCCCCCGAACAACAACAGATGTGGACAAGGGGACACTTCTGAACATCTTGAAGAAGGGCGAAATGCTTGCGGTCGAAGGCATGCAGTCTGAGAAAGTTGTGCTTACCCGTCAAAAGGGTTCCAAGTGCCTGGGCACTGGGCCCAATCACAAACACGGATTGACGGCTCCGAGCACCCATCCTAAGCTCGCTATTGCCGTGGATGAAGCAGGAAATGCCATGGATAGACTCATCTTACACGTCTCATCTGAAAAGGAAGAGCGAGATCTAGCACTCTTTACGTCACTCCCGCGCTGCTTGATGAAATGGCTCATGGCAGATCCGAAAACTCAACAATGGGGAATGGAAACTTTGTTGGGTGTGAGTCTCTTGAAGAGTGTACTGACTGCTCCACCAAACGTCATTGATGCCATACTCACACGCGAGGGAGTTGGACGTGTTCGAGTGACTGAGGTCAATCGGACGATGACGCGTCAAGAGGTCGCTCCTCAGAACACAGCATCAAACGAGCCTGCTGATCAGCCATCCCAGTCTAGGTATGATTGCAATCCGTACTTAAACGTACTATTTGAGTTTGAAGCTCACAGCAACAGATCCGAGGACGCACCACCAGCCAACACTCCCACAGAGACATCGGAGAAAGCGCTTGCAAAGCAGCCGGCAACCCCAGTCAGATCCAGCCAACAACCACAATCAGCTGCAGGCCCCAGCAGCGCAAGGGGATCACAAGAGACGACACCCCAAGCAGAACAGCTTCAGTCAACCTCAGGGGGACACGCCGAACCCTCGTCCAGTAACATAAAGACGCCGTTAAAGGACGATCCAGTTCTTAGCGGGAAAGAGGACGTATACAAACCCCGATACGCGTCTATAAGCCAGAGGCCCAAACTCAAACCCAGATTACGAAAGCGGCCTGGCTCACCATCATCCAGCCCACCAGCGACTTCGCCCTCGAGTCAAATCCCAGATGATGTAATTCGTGGAATAGAGAGACTGAGGATTGCAGACACATCTGAGGTGACTCTTTAGTCGCCCAAACTTATTCCGGTGGCGTAGAAGAAAGATGGGTGGAGTTACTACCGCGTGGAGGAGGTTCAGCTGTGTTATCAGTGGTTATGCTTAATTGTTTATTTGCTTTGTCAGCTGTGCCATATCGTTGTACTAAGTTCAGCTCGGGAGGATGGGTTACAAGGCTAGATCCAAGCAGAAATCAAGGCCCAGTTGAGATTTTGACCTTCGTTGCATCCGCTTACTTGGCAAGCTGGTTGGAACTCATACAATTGATGCGGTGCACTCACCACGCGACCCAGACCGCGTGGACGGCCGATCCTGGTCGATTGATAAAGCATCCTTGAACTTCAGGGTCCTGCTACAACGCAAGACATTGTGCCAAGAAACCGTTACTCGATATGCTTATTCTATTTGATGGACCGTAAAATTGGTAATGCTTGAATAATGATGGTTATCATGCCATGTAAAAATTTCTCGAGGCAGTGCCGCGTAGTTTCTCGGCAAACGTGCCGAGTACCGTGATAGTGGCTCCTAGCCTTGCTACAGCTGAGAATAGCTGAGGAGCATGAAATTTGATGGGATAATGTCAGCTCTCTACTAGTAATGCTTGGTAAAAGAATCTCGTGGCGCCAATTTTTTTTAATTCTTTTAAAAGATAATCTGATAAGGGGAACAGACAATTTCAAGATTCTTAGAGTAATTTAGTTGTTGATGAGCGAGCTTCAGTACTTAGAGATACTGAGGTATCTCGGCATACGGCACGCCAAGGACCACAGAATTAACTCATGCCAACATGACTATTTTTTGCAGTGGAGTCCTCGCCAAGGTCGCCGAACCGACTTTGCCGTCGTGACGGCTTGGCAGATCTTGTTATAAGATAATTCTTAATCATTTTCATCTTATCTGATCCGACTTGATGTGATCATCGTGAGCTCTGCACCCGAGAATCTCGACATGACTGCGTCCGTTGAGAAAGGTCTTGCTGAGGCAGAAGTGGCCGCTCCGAACGAGGGCCTGGTCCGACCAGAGACATCTTCAGGTTCGTTGCCGGCTTGTACTTCCGCAAGTTTCGTATGCTCATGAATCAAAGGCGAATCTGTTGGAGAAGTCCTGTCAGCGGCTGGCGTGGGCTTCAAGGATGATGATCCAACTCTACCATGCCTCACCCTTCGCATGTGGACAATCGGCATTGCCTTTTGTCTTGTAGGCAGTGGCGTGAACACTCTGTACACCCTCAGATTCCCATCCATCAGTCTTTCGCAGTCTGCAATCCAGTTCCTCGCTTATCCTGTCGGCAAGGCATGGGAGTATGCGATACCGGACTTGGGGTTCACCTTGTTCGGCAAGCGACATAGCCTGAACCCTGGACCCTTTAACCATAAGGTATTTGCCCCCTTGAACCCCCAAAGAGACACTCACTAAGCCTGGCTCAGGAGAACATGCTTATCTACATCTTGGCCAACCTTAGCTTCTTGACCCGATTGAGCGCCGATGTCCTCACCGAACAGCGCGTCTTCTATGGCCTCAAGGCAGGATGGGGTTTCGAGATCCTCGCAACACTCACATCCATCCTGTTTGGTTTTGCTCTGTCAGGCTTGACTAGATCAGTAGTCGTTGAACCGAAAAGCCTCGTTTGGCCAGGCGTGCTCGGAAACACGGCTCTCAACGCAGCCTTGCATACACCGCGCAAGGAGGTGATCGCTGGGTGAGAACTTTTCTCAGCGCTTTCAGAGGCGGGGTTCGCTAACATTTCTGCAGCAAGATATCTCGTTACCACTTCTTTATCCTCGCCTTCGTTGCTTCTTTCTGTTGGTATTGGTTCCCTGATTTCATCTTCCCTGCCTTGGGATACTTTACATGGATCTGCTGGATCGCCCCCAAGAACCCTGTCGTCAACCAGGTGTTTGGCATGAAGAGTGGACTGGGGTTGTTGCCCTTCACCTTCGACTGTATGTGCTCGCCGTTCTATGATTCGATGCTTCGGTCGCTAACAAGCTGTCTCTTCAGGGAGTCAGATCGCATACATCGGATCACCACTTGTTGTCCCAGTCTGGGCTATCCTCAACGTTCTCGCCTCGCTTGTCTTCTGGATCTACATCATTAGCCCGGCACTCTACTACTCGAACACCTGGTTCTCGGCCCACCTGCCGCTACAAAGCAATTCGATCTTCGACAATACCGGAGAAGTCTTCAATGTCTCGAAGGTTGTCAATAAGAAAGATGGCTTCACCTTTGATCATGATCTGTATGCGCAGTACTCTGATGTCAGTCTCGTCCCATCACGCCCCCCAGAGATGAGAGTTGCTAATGCCCTCCCCCCAGATTTATCTCCCAGTAACATATGCGCTCAACACTTTCGGCTTGTCGTTCGCCACCATCTCGTCTCTCTTTGTCTGGATCTTTCTCGAGAAGCGCCGGGATTTAGTGAGGACATTCCGCGACGCATGCAAATCATTGACGTCGACGAACACTTCCACCCGCGACAGACTACAGCCCCAATATGATGCAGTTCCGCTTTGGTGGTACATGACCGCTGCCCTTGTAGCATTGGGCATCGGTGTCTTTACCTATGAGTACTACCCTGTTCAGCTGCGTTGGTACGGCGTGATTTTCGGTATGGTAGTATCTTCTGTCTTCTTCATCCCTGTGAGTACCAGATCCTCCATTCATAGGCATTCTCCTGACTTTTGAAGCTCGCTTGGGTGTATGCTACGAGCAACATCAAGATCCAGATCGATATCTTCTGTCGTATCATCGCTGGTTACGTCTGGGAAGGCAAGGTCCTGGCCAACATCTGGTTCTTCAACGTTGGATACATCTCGGGTATCAAGGGTCTTGCTTTCTCACAAGACCTGAAGCTTGGCATTTACTGCGGTGTAAGTGGTCCTTGTCTAAACGCTACTGATACCTCAAGCTGACGTATTTCAGATCCCTCCCCGAAGCCTCTTCCTGGTTCAAGTAGTCGGCCTTATTGTCGGAACTCTTGGTCAAGTGTCTGTCCTCAACTGGGCACTCGGAAACATCCCCAACGTCTGCAATGCCAAGCTTGCTCCGAACGGTTTCACTTGTCCCTTCTCTCGAACTCATTTCAACACAAGCATGGTCTGGGGCGCCCTCGGTCCCCGTCGTTTCTTCGAGTCAGGTGCCCTCTACAGGCCCTTGCTCTGGTTCTTCCTGGTCGGAGCTCTTCTTCCTGTCGTCGTGTACCTCCTTCGAACCAAGGCCTTCCCTCATGTCAATTGGCTGAAGAAGATACACGTTCCGCTGTTCCTGGGTGGCTTGAACTATATCCCGCCTGCATCCGGTGTCAACTATGGCAGCTGGGCTTTGTTTGGTCTGTTATTTGGCGCTCTTATCAAGAAGCGCAAGGCAAGCTGGTGGCATCGATTCAATTTTGTTCTGAGCTCCGCTCTGGATTGCTCTGTCGCTATCGCTGGCATCGTCATCTTTTTCGCCATTTTCTACACTGGCGCCGCGGATAATTTCAGCTGGTGGGGAACCAACGTGTACAAGGTCAGTTGATGAGTCTCGTCGAGATGTGCTGTCGTCTAATGGTGTATGTAACAGGATACCTGCGATTGGAAGAGTTGTCCTTACAAAGCGTTAGCGAAAGGGCAGACCTTTGGACCTTAGGTAGTGGCCTGCGAGGACAATGAGCCCGGACCTTTTGCATCCGATCATACATTGACTTTTTGAATGAGAAGTTTGAAAACAAGTTTAAAAGTAATAAAGCATGCTTGTAACCTTGTTTGCTGGAGCCAAACGGCGCGACGTCTAGGTACCTAGGTAGTCTTCCACTTCTTTCATGCGCTGATTGTGCTTTGGTTACAGAGGATCCGTGCCCCTGTAACAACCAGGCACCAGCGGGCACCTTGTGATGCGCACAAAGCCTCCTGTAAAATGGTGATCAGACACGCTAATACTGGATTAAGACTCCCAATACCACATCGGCAAAGTTAATCTTGGTAGTTAAACAAGCAAAGCCTCATCCTTCGGGGTTTATTCCACCTGCCCGAAGCAAATTACAGGGAAATCGTGCAGATTTTCTAATGCAGTAGGGATAATAACGTGTGATGATCAGCATTGATGCGGGGGAAGGGGGGGAATAACATGATGATCCCCTGGAGCTCTTCCTTAAGCGCTGACGATGTAGACGTCATAAGGTTCACACAAACTCAACGTGGTATGCAGGCGGGGAACACGGAATGGCATGCTGAGGCAGTACAAGAGCTCCTTCATCCTCATGCGCAATTTCACTCATCGCAACCATCGCTTTTCAAAATGTTCTGGTCAAATGCTGTCCCCTTTGCGGGGCTTTGCTCTCTGTTTCTCGACGTCGCTGCAGCGCAGACAAAATACGAGGTTCAAAAACCTCCACTTGACACCGACTGGACTTACAAGGTCGGCACCAATCCTTGGCCGGAACATCCGCGGCCGCAGCTCAAACGCGATGCTTGGAAGAGCCTGAACGGAATCTGGACATGGAGAGGCGATGGCGATCTCAGCAACCCGCCCAAAGCAGGCCCTCTTGATCGTGAAGTGCTGGTCCCAGCTTGCATCGAGAGCGCTCTGTCAGGACTGCAGGTCCTTGACGAGCGTGAGTTCTGGTACCAGCGGTCCTTCGAGGTATCGAATGACTGGAAGGGCCAGACCGTTCTGCTTCACTTCGAGGCCGTCGACTACAACTCAACCGTCTTTGTCAACGGGAAAGAAAAGACGACGCACATTGGGGGCTACGACCGCTTCTCTGTCGACGTGACGGAGGACATCAAGTTCGGAGAGTCGAATGAGCTGTAAGTCCAGGATTGAGCTTCCAAGCCGAAACACGCTCTAACATCTTGCCAGGCTCGTCTTTGTCAGCGACCCGACAGACGATCAAGTTATCCCCATTGGCAAACAGACCTTGCGGCCGAGTCACATCTTCTACCGCTCATGCTCAGGCATCTGGCAACAAGTCTGGCTTGAGGCCGTACCGAAAGATTACATCACCGATTTTGACCTCGCTGCGGGTGCAGATGGTGAAGGTCAGTAACTCTGAATCCCCGGTGTTTCATCAGACCGCTGAACATTCTATTCTAGTTACCGTAACAGTCCACACATCTCAAGAGTCCGGTAAGTCCGCCAAAGTGGTGATCGAAGGCAGCGATGGCACGGAACTGGCCTCCCACGAAGGAACGACCGATGAAGAGTTCACCTTCACCGCCAAGTCGCCAAAACTATGGTGGCCCGACTCCCCAACGCTTTACAACATCACCGTAACACTCGACAGCGGAGACAAAGTACAAAGTTACACCGGCTTTCGAACCATATCCAAAGGTAAAGTTGAGAACGTCACACGACCGCTCCTCAACGGCGAGTTCGTGTTCCAATTTGGAACTCTTGACCAAGGTTTCTGGCCCGATGGATTGTACACTCCACCTAACAGGGAGGCCATGGTCTCTGATTTGAAGCTCCTGAAGAAGTTTGGCTTCAACATGGTTCGCAAACACGTCAGTATAGCCTTGTGATTTCAATTTCTCCTACTGACTTGAGAAGATCAAATACGAGCCTCATCTGTTTTACCAAGCATGCGACGAGCTTGGCCTGTTGGTTATCCAAGATATGCCCAGTCTCCCTGCAGACGGCAATCGCAAACCCAACGACGCGGAGCAAGCCGAGTTTCAACGACAGTTCGAGATTCTTGTAAAACAACACAAGAGCTACACTTCAATCGTCACATGGGTATGAACAGAGACTGGCCAGGATGGTTTGCTTGCTAACTATGAAAGGTTATCTACAACGAGGGCTGGGGTCAGCGAGACGGTTCTCCTGAGAAGAGCCTGACTGAGCTGGTTCGAAAGCTTGACAAGTCGAGACTCATCAACTCTATCAGCGGATGGAATGACCACGGATTTGGCGACTTCCACGTAGGTCACCTCAAGACCTCATCCAACACTTCACTGACTCGTTTTTAGGACAATCACAATTATGCTGCACCTCAATGCGGCACGCCATTCTACTCGCAGCCCAAGACTCCATACGATCCTGAGCGCATCGGCATTGCAGGCGAGTACGGTGGCATCGGTCACAACGTCTCGATAGACCAGTAAGTTCAGATCACCGTGTTCAACTTCACCACTAACTGCTCTTGCAGCCTTTGGAACGTCAAACAAGCCATCGATAGCATCCCAGAGACATACGAAATCAACGAGGACCTCGATTCATACAATTACCGATCCGGCGTCTTATTCCGAGACATTCGTGAGCAAACTCAGCGCTTCGCTTGCAGCGGTGCCGTGTATACCCAAACGAGTGATGTTGAAGGCGAGGTGAATGGTTTGATCACGTATGATCGTCGTTTCGTGAGGCCAGATGTTGAGAAATGGCAGAGTGAGATTGCCAGTGTATACAAGGCTGCAACTTCTCGAGGTGGGCGTGAGTCTGCTGATAATGGGAAGAGAGTAGCTGGGTCATTGTTGGACTTGTAGTGTTTTAGTGACAACTGTCAACTTTACCATCAATCATGCTTCAATATTGCAGATTAAGATCTCCTTTGCATTGACTTCGTAACAACCGTTGTTCTTTCACAACGTACCATTCAGTAGCAAACAATTCTTGCCAGCAATGCCGAGATCTCGTTGCATTGAAAAGAGGCCAATGCGGATTAGTCAACAAAGTGGCGGGCAATCTTTCTCGCCACCGCTGCCTGCTGGGACACGTCACCTGCTTCAATCATTCATCTCCATCGAACCGGAGTGACTTAAAGCAGAAACTACATATCCCAAACCAAGACTACAAAACCATCAGTTTGAAAGGTCCAGCAATGTCGAACAATCACAACGAAAAGTTGACAGCGGGTAACAAATCCAAAACGCAAGATCTCTCTCTTTTGTCCATATCGCTGACTTCAACCCAGCGTCGAACCCAGACATTGAGGACGAATGGCAGATTGTAGACAAGGAAGACACTCAACCTGATGGCATGGGAAAGGATGAGAAGAAGGAATTGGTCCAGGAGAAACCTTCTGACAGATCTGAGAAGAGTCTTGCGGAAGAGCAGAGAGAATTAGTAAAGGCAAGATGGGAAGGCATGCAGCCGCAGAGGGGAGGCGTGTATCCTGACAGAGAAGTCAAGACACCAAGCTATCCCCAGTTCACTGGAAACTGGTAAAATGATCCTTAGCGAATGTATCTGGACGCTACATAAAGTCTATTCAAAAAGGTTCTTCGTCCATGTATGTGCGTTCCTGGTTGACCAAACTGGCGAAGATGGAGTGACCTGTTGTAAATGCTCCAGAGCCTCCCGAACCTTATCTTTATCTACCGGCTGGCCATCCCAATAATCGTGCATGGCCCCAATAAGATATAGCTCGTCACCTATCTCTGGCCAGTCTACCGATGACTTGACGCCGCCAATTGGTTTGGTTGGTTGGACGGTTCGCTCGTACTTGTCACGGAATATGTGATATCGGGTTATGGTATCCCAGTTATGCCACCGCCAACGATTCTCTGATGTCGCTCGAAATGGGAGAGGACTTCGAGATGGAGCAGGCTCCTCTGTGTCACCTAGAAGGAAGTCGACGAATCTCTTGAACTGGTCCGTTGTAAGGGGGAATAGAGTAAAGGGCCCTACTCGTCGACTTGCATGTAGGTACAGCTCATTACACTATCCAAATGTTAGCGCACGTCTGACCAGCTTGTGGTTCACTCTACCTCTGATTCTGATTCTCCACGGTCAAAGACGAAGACCCCACCGAATATCTTTGCTTCAGCCCAGTATCCAACGGTATCAGCATCCCCGTTCGGATACCGCTCAACCGCGACATAGAAGCTATGACAGAAAGCTGTCGGGTGTCGATACCCATCCCATCGACGAGTATCGCGTGGTGAGTCTATCCATTTTTGATAGTCTTGATGTGTATGGTTGAAGCCACCCTGTTGGTACAAGTATACCGCAATCTGGTGAATGGACACGGCCAACAGCTCAAACAATCGTAAGTGGAATGATCGTGAATCGATCGTGGTCTCTTCAAAAGCGAGTAGTAACTGACACAGGATATCAGGCGAGCCACTCTAGGGGACCAATTAAGAGAGCTTACCGGTAAGTGAAACTTCAATCTTGTGGGAGGATAATCAAAACGTAGTTGACGAGCTTTTCCGATCATTCCTGGGCACACTTCCAAGTGTTGAGTAGCGGGATGACCATCCTGCGGCCAGTGGAAATCTTGATATGACCCAATTGTAGGAAGTCCATCAATGATCTCCGCAAACGTCATTTCCGCTACGCCAGTTTCCATCACTCTCATCAGGGCTTGCACGAATGCTTGACGATGCCGTGTTCCCATTGCATCAATTGTAGCCATGTTCGCTGTATCGTCAAGCATCTCCGCTGTAGACTGTTGGTGGGACGAGGGGGTGGAATGACTTGAAAATTCTACCCCTAGATCTGACTGTACATGGATGTCAAAGAAATGGCGATGCGGAGGGAAATTCCCAGCTTAGGCTGAACGTAGCGGACTTCAACCTGAGGCAGGCCAAAGAATCAGGGACGGATGAGCGTCCAGGGGTACAAGGATTCACATCAAATCATACGGCACCAATTACTAATCATTCTTGGTCTAGATATCAACAAGTCAACAGAAGGTGATCGAGTTCCCCCGTCCTTAGGACCAAGCGCAGGGAGATGCAACAAGCCAAATCATTGTTCTGAGTCACAGAGGGATTCAGGCAGACGTGGTGTAGATTCCGCTAGCCTCTCGACAAATTGCTTGCGTCGAATTGTGTGAAGTCGGAAATTTGTTTGGTCCCTGTGGCCAACGCGGTGAATAAGAGTGAGAGTCGTTGTTTGCTTGAGTGTCAACATGGACGAGAACTTCAAACTCAATACTCATCCACCCAGCTACCCTTATATCTCAATTTGACTCTGTACATCCTCAGCAAAGGGCAGTGGTGCAGTGGTATCTCACCTAAAACCTACAAACCTTCTAAACTCCGAACCTAAAATCCTAAAACTCTCTCCCTGCACCCTCCCTTTGTTTTTTGAGGCCATAGGTTCGATTTCATGCTCCAAATCACTTTTCACGGGTTCCAAGGCTGCACCCCTTTTGCAGCCAAAGTGTTTCGACTTCTTCGACAATGGCATCCCAGAATTTCACCGAGCCAGAGTTGTGAAACTTGTTTTTGACGGAACCGCAGCTACGTCTGCGGAGCAGCCCTGATCCACTGTATATGTTCGACACGGAGCAAAAATGCATGTGTAGACAAATCATCTTCTCATATTGGAACTGTGTCCTGTCGCGGAAGTCGGCTTCTCATTGAGCTCATGAGTACGAAGGACGTGATTTGGATGTCGGGAAACCATTCTCGGAATTCAAGTTCGCGAAGGCAAGGCGTAGTCTAGAATTTGCATTAGTTCAGCAAGAAAACAGAGCCTCGCACGTGGATTATGATCTCAAGTTGTACTGACAGAAGGCCCTTGGCCCCATTCTTTAGAGTAGACCTCCGCCTGCTTGTCCCTGTTCATCTTTGTTGAGTATATGCATCAGAAAGCCAAGCCATTGAACAAATCCACGTGGGTTGATAACCGGAATCTGTCCAGCTTGATATCCCCTGAATATGGGATCAGTAGCCCGCTTGCCACAGTTGGCAAAGGATCAAGTCGAATACGTCAATAAAGGGGGTAAGATGGAAGGGGGGACTCTGCTAAGTTGGCGAGGAGTTCCTGATGAGGACCAAGTGAGTTTGCGTTGAGATTCTGATGCAGTTAACGCGTCAAGCTATAGCAGTAGGAAGCCATAGGCTGTAATGAAGTAGTAAATTCCCTGGCAGAGCCGGCTGCAGCAAACCAAGCGTGTGCTATCGTGCGTGGCTGGACATTGACGCGGAAACATGGTGGGAAATGACACTTGCACCTGGCCAGTGACTAGACAGTGTCGTATCCTTTTGGTCAGGGCCAAACCCATGACTGATTGTCACCCTACTTAAGCCCGAATTGTTCAACACTTTCCCAGGGCGGGGTGAGACGAGGCTGGCCTCAGGGCAACACACATTCCGTTTGGCTCGTTCGTTAAAGACTTACTAACCTCATAGGTACACCCCCTTAGCTAGCCGATGATGTCTCCCCTGCCCGCTTTTTTTGAAGGTCTCAGATTCGAACGGGGCGTGCACCGCGTGACAAAATAACGCGAACCTTTTTTCTTTGTGGGATTTGGCACTTCACAACTACACGCTGCACGCATAACACGATTATTTGAAATAATATGTCCAATGACACTATTTAGCTAAAATACAGCCTTTACAAATCATTACTGGTGGTCCACAGTCTTGGGCTCAATGCCGTTGTGGGTAAGAGTTGGCTCATCCCTGTCCAGATCATACATGGCATCTTCTTGAGCATCATAGTGTCGGAAGATAGCATAAAAGATGCAGCCAGTGACGAAAGAAGAGACACCAACGCCAGTGTAGAGCCACAAGAAGTTGGGGTCCTTGGCCTCGGAAACAAGAGCCTCGGCGATGGCAGATCCAAAAGCATTGGTAAAGAGGTAGATAGACTGCACGAAGGACTTCATGCTGGGAGGAGCCTTGGTGTAGGCATACTCGAGACCAGTAACGGAGATGAAAATCTCAGAAATACCGATGAAGATGTAGGCGGGTGTCTGGATGGCGATGTGCACGTTGTTAGGAAGCGTGGTGTCACCGTCTTTACCGGCAGCACATTCGCCGGGGTGCTCGTAACAAGGTCCAGCAGAGTAGATGATGTGCTGAACGATAGCAGCGTAGGCAAGACAGAGAGCAGCGAGCCAGAAACCAATAGTGATTCGTGCAATGGGTCGAAGCTCAATACCAGCTCGGCGAAGGATGGGATACAAGACCTTCTCGATGAGAGGAGTGAAAACCAAAATGGAGATGGGATCGAAGTTTTGCATCAGATCGTTGGGAACACCGTGACCTTGCATCTGACCAGCCTGGGTAACGAAGTTGGTGGAGAACTGTCCGTAGCAAACCCAGAAGATGGGGTAGAAGATGAAGACCTTGCAGGCGCGGAGAGCACGCTTAAGCTCGTCGACAAAGTGGTCGTTCCAGGGGACAACCTTGGTCTTCCCATTGGCCTCGCGCCACGAGGGCTTGGCGGCATCGGTGTTGCGTGCGGCAATCATCATACCAAGAGCCTTGAAGGCATCAGTGATAACGGAACCCTGGGGAGGGCGGTTGACAAAGGTCTTTCGGCGGAGAACCAGAGTGACGATACCGACGTTGAACATGCAGAAACACATGAGGTAGGCGGTCCAGAAACCCTTGTACTTCTCCATGAAGGGGGTAGCGAGCAGTGAAAGGGCACCGACGTTGATGCACCAATAGAAGATCATGTAGATGCGCTGGTAGGTGATAGCAGGGTCGATGACAACGCGCTCGCCGTTCTTCTCGGTTCGGATAGCCATCCTGCGTCGCTGGTACTGATCGGCAATGAGAGGCGCAATGTTGGATTTGATACCACCGGTTCCGAGACCAATAACGATGATAGCAACGATGTATCCAGCCTTTCCAGCACCATGTTCCATAGCAACAGGTAGTGATGTAGTCCAAAGGATGATGAGACCAACCCAGTAGAAACCGCAGAAGACCAAGATAGTCCTATACTTTCCGAGGTACTGATCGGCGATGATGGCACCGAGAATGGGAGTCACGTAGCAGAACCATTGGAAGAAGAGGTTGAGACCAGTAGCAGCCTGGTGGCCCATTCCAAGACCCTTGGCACCATCTGCGCCTGTCGGGCTGTTGGAGATGTAGTTCTGGAAAAGACCCTGAGCACCATAGTAGGTGAATCGTTCCGTCAACTCAACAACGGCGATGAGGAAGGCTGAAGCAGGGAGGTTCTCTCCTACACGTCGAAGAGTCGCCTTCTCATGATCATTGGGCTCCTCGCCATCGGGAGTGGTGCCAAACTCAGGATCAGAAGCATAGTGTTGCTTGTCGAGAGACTTCTTCTCATCAATAGAAGGGGCGATATAGCCACCGGCGAGATCAGTCTTCTTCTCGGCGGGCACGCGTTCACCTAACTCCTCGTGGAGCCTGGATTGCATGAGATTAGCAAGGGTACGAAATAAGCTTGAATAGAGTTTGCGACATACTCGGCGGCCAAATCCTCGTGATTCTGGGCCATGTTGCAGACGACGTCGATGAGACTCGATGAACTGGAAAAGTTTTCACTGTCACGGATGCAACAAGGGACAAGGCGAGGTCGATTGATGATGAAAGGGAGGAGAGGATGGGAGCAAACGAAGAGTAATAAAAATACCAAGATCTGGAGACGTTTAATAAATATTCTGTCATGGAAACACAGTCGACTCCATATTGTACGCCACGAGATGCCACACCTCGACCGAAGCCATGCCCGTTGCTGTAAAACATCCGACCATCAGAGTAAGGAACCTTTGTAACGGCCCGGATATGGTTATGGAGCATCAAGCAACGGGCAACTCAAAGGTGGCCAATGGCTCTGACCGTGTGGCGTGCTCCGAGTGCTTCTGCAAAATTTCGAGAAACATGGGCCATGTCTAAAATGCCGAAGATCCGAGTCATCCCCTGTCTCGTACGAGCGACGGTGACACCTCAAGTGGAGGCTCCGGCCGCAAAGAAAAGCACCCCACAGAAACAGCCGAGTCTAGTGGCGCGAGGGAATTGTCCGGATTTGTGATCCATTCAATTCTCTGCCAGAATTAACCGTGACTGTCATTATCGCGATGTCGCTCTCCGGACACGGCGAGTCCGCTTGTATGACTCTTTTATATATTACACGATCACGTTATACTTGTCGATATCGCAAAGCCAAGGGATGATCTTGTGTTGTACCGTGTGATATCGAAGGATCAACAGAACTTCACTTATCATTAAAGATCGGCATAAACTCGTATCAAGCTTACCACAACAGGTAAAGACCAATTTCTTCCAAACACCCACAGGCTAAATGAAAAAAAGTTCCGCGGCAACTTCTCTCCCAAGCGCGTGGTAACGTAACAATCGCAGTGCCCGTCCGCGACTAACGTTAAAGGGAGAGGGAGAATCAGAACCCTGAATCCACCCGCCACTGATAATACTGTAGCACGTACGGACGGGCCAATCGACGAGACAAAGGGCGCGCGAGTCGGGAATGACGGCTGGCTATCTCAGGCACCGTCAGTAATCTTTACCCAACAGGAAGGTCATTACTCAATCATTCAGGGCCTCCCCGCAAATCATCTGTGCAAGGTTTATCTCAGACAAGAAGCTCGTCCAAACAGCGCGCTACAAATTGTCATATGACGTACAACCCTCAAGTAAGAACGTGAGCCCATTCCCTTTAGAGGAAACTCGACGAGTGAAATAGGGTTATCGAGAGCGTCAGTTGATTTGATAAAACCGTGATAATGTGCTAGCCAGCTTCTCGATACGGAATGATATGGTCTTTTGTGATATTGGCTACCTATTGGCCTTGGCCTTGTTGTCGCAGGATTGGCTTCAAAAGTTCATCAATCATGATGGGTAAGCGACATGGTGCATCACATCGCATCTTATCTCCGGTCATTCCCATGGCCAAGCCGGCAGCAACCGCCATTTTCCCTTGGCGATTTCTTCCCTTTTTTGTGCCGCATTTCGCCTCAGCTGATTTTCAATTGCCATCTTGTCTCCTGATGGTGTCGCTATCGCCATCTCAACTTGTAACGTTGTCAAACTCCAGGCGGCGACACCACTATTACCTAAAATCAAGAGATCGTCGCGACGCCGCTTATCTCCTAACCCCATTCTCCATTCCTGTCAACTGTACCCCATGTTTTCCTCATCTCCATCTCCATTTCTCAACGGAGGGAGGCCTGAGGCTAATGCATGGGGTAGCAGTTCACTGTGTGTCAAGAAAATCAAGGAAGACGGCCGATTGCAACCCCCCATGTCTAGTAAGCTTCAGAGGCTGCATGGAGGCCAATCACGCCCCTCGCCGTATTTCCGTGAACGCGTTGTTTTTTCCTGGGGTTTCACGGGGTTCAGCTGGATGGTGGCGGGCTAGCACAGTTTTGGTTGTTGAAGAGAGAGCCTCAACGAGCCTTGAAAAACCGTAAAACCGTAAGACCGTATTTTGTTACCGAGGTGCCGAGGTTGGGAAAGAGTTTTAAGAATGAGATTATGGAGGGCGGGATCTAAAAGTCAAAATAGCCGCGTTCGAGGTTGACGAAAATGGTCGTATTCAGGGTAGGTTGGGTTGGTTGCAGATGATACCTTGTGCTGAGTACAGTCAGCAATGGCGATACCTCGTTACGAGTCGTTACGAGGCCTCTAACTCAATTCAAGAGACAACGGCTCTCTTTTGGTCGTTTTTAGATTGTACTAGATATCTCATAGTAGTCGCATCGCTGTAAATAGCATTTTTGGCGTTCGCGACGGTTACTTTGCAGCATCTGCTCGAAGTTTATTAGGCACGCCACATTCGTGATCCTATCTGATGTCACCTGCAAACTATGAGCGTGATGAGCTTTTCGTATCACGGCAAATTCCTGCAGTAATTGAGAGCGCGATACATTGAAATAACGATTGAAGATATATTTTTAGAGTTTGACATGTCGGTGTAAGACACCGGTTCAGTTAAGACAAGTTCAACACGTCTTTCAGCACACCTAACGCCCCAAAGAGCTCATTGTCATGATACCGCCTCGCCACCACCTGCAGGTTGACAGGCGCACCCCTAAAATCACCCTCCTCCCACAAATCTCTAACATGTCGACAAGCATCGCTTAGCGGAACATAGCCCGTATCGTAAACTTTCCCAGATTCAGCCCTAATTGGCGTGGGAATAACCGCTCCCGGGTAGTCGACAAGGTTGTAGAGCGAGGTGTAGGTCCAGTAGAAGGCCGTGTCGTGCGCACACGCTGGCCCGACGAACGACGGGCCGATAATGACATCCACGTCTTGGTCACTCCAGCTTTTGGCAAAAGCAAGCCAGAAATCGTTTCGCTCTTTGTGGACGGCTGTGAGATCTACGGCGGTGTGCATGCCCAGGGGCTCTGCGTCTCTGCAGATCCATTCTGTAAGAGGGTGAAGAGGTTCTCCGGATGAGATTATGCCGTTTTTGGTGAGATGGCCGCCGTCGGGCCAGTAGAGTCTTCGGACTTGCTTCCATGCTTCTCCTGCGCCGAAGATTTTGAACTCTTTTAATTCGATGAGGTTGGCAAACTTGCTGTCGGACAGAAGGCTTCTGGCCCACGAAATTGCCCTCTTCACTGGCGGTTGAGGCTCGATAAAGCCATCGTTGCTGATGATGCCGACCTTGAGGCGCCGATTGAATCGTGTTTCAAGACCGATCCACGGGATCGGAACGATGTTGGGATCCGAAAGATAGGGCTTCGAAGAAAGGACACATTTCATGAAAAGGTCCATATCTCTCAAGGAGCGACACATAGGTCCAGTCGACAGAGGGATGTTCAGCACAGCTGGAGGCGGAGCGCCTTTGATGTACCCCCTTGTCGGCAAGACATTCGATGTGGTTTTGAAGCCATAGATACCACAAAAGGCAGATGGGCCACGGATACTTCCACCAATATCAGTCCCGATCCCCAAGATCGAGCCTTTCATCGCAAGCAGCGCAGATTCACCTCCTGTCGAACCACCAGCAGACAGATGAATGTTGAAAGGGTTCAGGACTCTTCCCCAGTGGGAAATCACTCTCGAGATGCATCAGAGATTGAGGCTGGTTGGTTTTGCAGTAAATGATGGCACCTTGGGCACGCAAGATCGACACGATGTCGGCATCTTGGTCGTCGTCGCTAATGCTGATGAAACAGCCTTGAGAGGAAGAGGTTCCGGCAACTTGGATGTGATCTTTGATGCTGATTGGCAAACCATGCATGGGGCCCATAGGCCTCCCATGAGACTCGAAATGTGCATCGAGCTTTTGAGCTTGTTCGATGGCCTCGTCCATGAACCATTGTGTCAGGCAGCATGTGAGCTGATGCGCAATGATTGAACGTTTGCAGAATGCCCGTGCAACGGCTATAGCAGTGTGTTTTCGACGTGCAATTGCCTCAATAAGGCCGACTGCATCATAAGTCTCAGTGATAGTGATCTCTTCTGGCGATAAAATGCCACAGGTTGATGGGATCGAGGTGACATCTGTTGGAGGGTTCAGTATAACCTCCAACGGCAGCCGCAGCTCATCCGGGACCTTTTCTGCAAATACTTCAAGCAAAGCAGCCCTCTTCTCTTCGAACTCAGGAGTGCCGAGAGGTACGGGCTTTACCTGTACAACAGGAAGCCCTGGAAGCATCTCTGGGGCCAAGGGTCTAGATTCGAGGGACTGCAAGCTGTGGGTGGTAACACTTGAGGAGTCTTTGGAAGACCCTGATGGGGGGACTGAAGAAGAAGAGGCAAAACTCATGGCAGAAGGATGTGTTTGTGTGATAGCAAATTTGCCAGGAAAGCATGGCGAGAAGGACAATGAGGAGGTGGTGCAGTTGTGATGATCCAGCTGATATATGTCAAGTCTTGGCCCAGGAGTTCTCGAACCTCGGGCTCCTTGGTCTTTGGTCGATGCCCTATTCTTCAGCTGTTTGCACTGCTGATTGCCCAGCAAATGTAAAGCTCGGACCATGGGTCAAAACAAACTCCAGTCGACAGCTGTCTTGCAAGCTAGTCGTTGGCGCACGATACCATTCACTTCTGACCACCCAGACAACCCAATCCGACACAAACATCCTCAAAATTCCCATTGTTGAGATCCAACTGTATCAGACCGATCAACCTTGGCTTCCAGGAGCTTCAGGTGACCAGTTGGAATAATCTGCGAGACGTCCACCAACATGTCCCAAGGACCCTTCGTGTCGTAGAACAATCCTTAGCGGCGTTTCCATTGTTCTTCTAGCTTCGACCACCAACAGCAACAGCAACCATGTCCGACCTAATATACCTACCAGGCAGTGAACGCCGTATCGCACCGCTGCTATTGCTGATCCCCCCGTCTTCTTCTGGTGACACAGATGCGGGGATTGAGCATATAAGACGTCGCGTAGAGCCTCCCCGTCCATTGGTACCCGAATTGAACAAGGTTTACGACCCTCCCCTCAGGCCACCTTCTTGTTGTTCACTTCGATTGCCTTCGCCCGAACCGACACAGCACAAGATGGTGACCTCGGTAGTGGAACCTCCCATTCCTGGGACTATCTATCTTGTTGACCTCAATCGCAATCTCCGTGTTCGTCATGCAGGCGGTGGTGACGGCGACATCGTCCTTGATCCTGTGCCAAGTGACGACCCAGAGGATCCTCTCAATTGGACTCCTCGTCGCAAAGTTCTTGCGTTGATATGTCAGAACCTGTGAGTCCCTCTTCTCTCCATGCGTGTCTCCTTTGTTGACTTATAAAGGTATACCTGGTTCACAGGCATGTCTGTTGCCACTGTTTACTCAGTCCTTGTCCCCCTCGCGCAGCAGTCCAAGGTCTCAATCAAGACGCTCAATGAAGGAACCGGATATATGTACCTTCTTTTGGGTTGGGGTTTGTTGTTTTGGCAACCCTTCTCGCTGCGGTATGGCAAGCGTTTGACCTACATCTTGTCTGTCCTCGGAGCCATTGTAAGTCAATCTCTATGCATTCACCACGACTGTTTGCTAACAGCTGTTATCAGGGCACAAGTGTTTGGAGGTAATCCTTCTCAGTGATGCGATACTGGTGTATGACCTTACTAACTGGTCGCAGCGCATACGTCTCAAGCAACGGAGAATGGATCGCCAAATGCATCATCCAGGGCTTCTTCATCGCCCCAATTGAAGCCCTGCCTGAGATTTCGATTACTGACATCGTAAGTATTGTCTCAGGGTATTATTACAAGCTTGCGACTGACTCTGTCCAGTACTTCACTCATCAACGTGGAACCTACATGGGTATCTACGCTCTCGCTCTGGCCGGCAGCAACTACTTCGCGCCGGTCATCTGTGGCTTTATCGCCGAGTATCAAGGCTGGCAATGGGTGTTCTACTGGCCCGCTATTTTCCTCTCATTCGTCTTCGTGTTTCTATTTTTCGTCATGGAAGAAACCAATTACAATCGTGCCGTACGACGCGCTGACCATCTGCCAACCAGTCCATCCCGACTGAGCGATGAGAACAACGGCAAAGCTGAAGGAAAGGCAGCCGACACTGGAAGATCTGAGGTCAGGGAAGCCGATGAGGCGAACGTCCAATATGCCAAACCGAGAACGTACTGGCAGAAGTCGTCGCTTTGGCAACCTACACCAAGCCAGAGTATGGCTCGTCACGCTGGACGCTCGCTTCAGTACCTCGGTTGGCCTGTCATCTTTTTCGCTGGCTTCTCGTACGGGTCGTACCTAATCTGGTTCAACGTACTCAATGCGACGGCATCCATCATCCTGTCAGGCCCCGGGTATGGCTTCAAGCCGTCAATGGTTGGACTGAGCTACCTCTCATGCTGTCTCGGTACCATCATCGCTGCCATTCTCGCAGGACGATTGAGCGATTGTCTTACTATCAAACTTGCACGTCGCAACAATGGTATCATGGAAGCTGAGCATCGTTTGTGGCCGCTGGCGATTTGTGTCATTGGCGTTCCGGCATCCTTGATCCTCTGGGGCGTTGGCGCGCAGCACGGCGCTCACTGGTTCGGCCTCATTTTCGCCATGTGCACCTTGTCAGTGACGAGTGTCATGGGGCTCATCATCAGTATAAATTATTTGATTGATAGCTACTATGAACTCAGCGGTGATGCGATGGTTACGATTATTTTGGTTCGCAACACGATGTCTTTTGCCATTAGTTATGGGTAAGTTTCCTTTTCGACGATGAGATCTGCAGCCACTAACAGCCAACAGCATCACGCCTTGGATCACCAACATGGGTTATCAGAATTGCTTCATCTCAGCTGCGTTCATCGCTTTGGCCGCTTGTTCCGCTTGTTTCGTCATGATCAAGTTTGGTAAATTGCTCCGACAGCAAAGCGCCGCCCGTTATAAAGAATTGGTCGATGACGACAAGAGGGTCGCAGGAATTGCTACATGATGGAGGGTTTGGCAACGCGCACAATTGAACAACGAGAATTGGCCGTATATACGATTACTCAATTATGTGTAATTAGTTTTGTCGTGAATAATGATTCGTATAATCTAGTTCCCAATGCCCGCTAAGCAATCTTGATGTCAACCAAATAGATGCGTCCATTTACAACATGGCGGCAGCGGCCAGGATAGCAGCAGCAAGAGCTCCAATACTGGCCCTGGTCCTAGCACCGATATTACCGGAGTCGCCAGTTTCGCTCGCTGAAGCACCCGTCGCCGTGGAAGTCTTGTCACCGCTGCCGCCCTTTCCACCGCTTCCACTTCCACTTCCGCTACCGCTTCCGCTTCCACCACTGCCCGAGCCTCCAGAGCCAGCGCTTGACTTGACGCCACTCTCGTTTCCAACACGAACGTTGTTCACAGTCAGAGGCGATGGCTTGTCGCCGCACTTTTGCGTGACCTGCACCTCGGGCTTATCCGAAGACTGGATGCCGCTACTGGTAACGTCCTGGAACTGGCCATTGTTGGTATAGAGCGGCTCCTCATAGACGTTCTGCCCGTCAGCCTGGATCTGCAGTGTACAATCGGTCTTTTCGGCTCGTCGTCGGAGTTTCGCGCTGCTTGGCTCGCCGACGAGGATCGATGCGACAATGTAGATGAGCTCGTCCGTGTTCAATTCATCGTCGCTGTCGACGGCGACGCTGAAGGTTGCTTGGCCGTTGGCGGGGGCGCTCAATTTACTGGGGCGAAAGTTAGTGGAGTTAGGCGACAGGGAAGCTTTGGGGACTTACATGGCGTCCTTGCCATCAACCTTGACGAGTTGAGCGTTTTCGCCAATTGTAGCGTTCTTGAGATCGACTTCGACTACGGTGCCTGTGCTTGTAGGGGCAGAGCTGGATGTAGCTGTCGCAGTGGCTGTGTCGGTCGAGTCATCGTCGTCGGTCTCGGACGCTGTAGCTGTCGCATCGGCATCTGTGGCAGTAGCTTCAGTCACTGTTAGCTTGCGTGACTGCAAAGATCATCGGCTTTCGTCTCACCATCCGCTGTCGCTGTACCTTCAGCTGTGGAGGCGTCCTCGTCGTCATCGCTCGCCGTCGCGGTGGGTTGTTCGTCGCCCGAAGCTTGGGAAGCTTCATTTGATGGCTCAACAGCAGTTGGCTCAGGGCCATTTGTGGCAGATGGAACGCTATCCGCATCTGTCGGTTGTGCATCTCCGTCATCGCCAGCATCTGAGGGTTGGTCTTGAGCAGGATTTGAGGGCTCAGCAGCAGGCGCTGATGGTTCTGGTTGAGCGATGGCCGAAGGCTCTGCGTCTTGATCAGGAATGACTGTTTGAGCCAGGCCGTTTACTGCCAAAAGGCCAAGGATGAGACTGCCAGCGAAACGCATGTCGACGGTTATTGGCGGATGTAACCTTAACGTCCGTGTCGTGTTCAAGATATCTTCAACCTCAACTTCTTGCAAAGGGTCAAGGAGTATCGTGAGAGATCTGCAGAAAATGAGGATTCCAGCTCGAGCTGAAAGAAGCTTGTTTATTATACCTGAGCTAAGCTCCCTCCCTTGATTTCTGAACCTTGCTGCTGGTTCAGGTGGTGGCACTGTCGGTGGCTTTGCTGGTCCAGACCATCGGAGCCCTGCAGCTGGGCTGTTAGGCCAGCCACTCAGGCGCCAGCTTTACCATCTGGGGGCTGTGTTTAGCGCTAGAAACAACTGTCGTGTACAGAAATAGCTTCAGCTTCGTCAGTGCACCACGGGAGACCCGACGTGTCTCCAGCTCTATACGAGAGCTGTCAGCAATAAAACCAGTTGTCATTCCACTTAAAAATCACGATGAACCCTGGAGATTTTATGATCATTTGTGCTTGCAGGTTAAGCTTAAATGTTCCAATGTCGACTACCGAAATTATGCCTTGCTTCATGTTGAGAATAGCTTCAATAGTTCACGCCACAAGAGGCCGCCGCGAGACCAGCTGAAGAGCTAAGCATTTTAGTTATTCATGGCACATTCCGTTCTTATTTCAGCCCTAGCACCCAACTTAGCAGCCAATGTATGTCACTGATCGAAAATTGACGATTGCGGCTGAGCAGTCATGCCTTTTCGTTGCCCAGCCAAGATTGTTATCCCATTCAATTGGAGTTCGGTAACGGGATAAGCCATGTATGTTTCGGTATCTTCCGACAAAATGGCAATTCTATTTTCCGATGGCAGGCAGTACTGTGACTCTGGTTACTCTCGTGAAGACCGTCTCCGAGGACCTGTGCTGGATTGAAGGCTTAAGATACATCTTCAGATGATAATTCTTTCAGCCCTAGATCGTGGTCCGACATGATCTGGGGCGGGCAACGCGGCCTCGTCTTCGCCTCCTCCAGCCTTCTCCTTGTTTCATCCCTCTTCGATTCAATCAACTTCCTCTGTTCTTCCGTCTGAATGAGGGGCGGAGGCAACAAACCCTTGTCGGGATGATACCATTGCTCCTTGGGTGTGTTTCTGCCATCGACACCACAAAAATCGATCTCATTCTCAGGGCGGAAAGGCAGACGGTCAAGAAGCGCCTTGATCAAATGAAGCGATAAAGGGACAGCATCGTGAACATCGCGGTCGGGGCCCAGCGAGCGCAGAATGCCATCTTTGCCGAGGGAGAAGACCCCGTTGTAGGAGGGATGGTGCTCCAATCTTCCCCAAATATCGCTGAGCTCAGCTTGGTGTTTGCTGATGGCTACCCATTGAGCTCTGCGACTAGTATCGGAGTCCTGGGCTTGTACTTGGGCATCGCACTGGGTCGAAGGCATGCTGAGAATGCAGAGTTTTCTGAGTCTAGGGATCTAATGAAAGAAGTTTAAGAAATTAACTGTAAACAAACAGTTGGTTTAGATATTGAAATGTGGTTTGCTGGGTCAGATTCTGTACACGATGGATGTCGAATCATGTACCACTTTTCAACTTACTTCTCCAAAGGTCGCTTCAAGGACTTTGGTGCCATCCTCAGTTGCAGGGTTAGTGCCATTCTCTGGGGTCAGATGCATGGGTATGAACAGGAGTTCTCGGTCAGCGAACGAATCAGATCGATGCCAGGCCAAGTCAGCATGAAGATGTCGTCCGTCGTCTCGGATTTCAGAGTGAACGCAGTTACCGTTCTTCAAGTTCGCATTAGCTACATATGACCTGATGGACAACTCTTGAGGCTCTCGATGGTCGTTACGAAGCTACTTTAGAATTAAAAGTAAACGAAGGAAGTCACAGCAATGGCTGATTCTCAGTTCACAAGCAAAACCTTGAGTAAGGAAGTCAATGGTCTGACTTGCATGGCGCCTCTGGAAAGTCCGAATGGATTAAAAGCGAAAAGAAAGTGCAGAGTTCTATGGACGAGGCCATATACCTAAACAGAGAAGGAATATCGGCCAAGACTCATTGCATGCACCAGATACAATAGTTTCAACAAAGCCACGCAACAAGTGCATTAAAAAATGACAACGTACTTTGTAGACAACGGCTGACTTGAACAGTATGGTTCATAGCTTGGAAGGTCATCGCTGATCCTCTGAGAAAAGTGTGAGCCGTTCTATGTGCATACCGGAGCACTATTAGGTTTGGCAACACTGTTGCTTGGGTTCGTCTGGCTGCAACCATTCGCAAAACCTAGAGCAGTATCATCGACAGCAGCATTGTAAGCAGCTCCGCAGTTGGGGTCACTATCGAGGTTAACATCAACTCTCTACCCTTTTAAAAAGAAAACTTACCTAGCACCTCCGGAAGCGGAGTTGAAGTACGAGCAGATATCGTGGGAGAAGCAATCCTGTGTATAGACGTTGCCAATAGCAGTGCCGCTGCACCCGGCTCCACATCTTCCGTTACAAGAGTAACTGTTCGAATCAGCATTATGTCTTTACAGAAGAGGGTAGCTGCAAAACTCACTCTCCTGACCCGGAAGGATTGGCACCATAGTTGCTACCAACAACGCCCGTAAAAGTACACTTCTTCCCAGCACTATTGGTCCACGAGGCAGTGGCTGTTTGGCCAACTTTGAGACATGTAATGGCTCGCTTCTCCAAAGTTGGCGAGGCGATGGACAAGTTGGCAAGAAGCAGGACGACAAGAGAACCGAGCATGATGGGCAGATGATTAAGAACAAGATACTGTACAAAAGGCTTGATTTACTGATGACTATCTTAATAACAATTCTTTTATACAAAATTATAGTCATATCGCTCATTTTGGTAGTATATTCTGTCATCGGAGGTGTATCTTGTTCTGGAAAGAGCGGAGATAATTTCGGAGAATCGCCTCTTGGCCATTGGTTCGAAATGCAAACGTGACTACGACCGTCCTAACAAGAGCTCAGCTTAAGCTTTTACAGATCTATTTCAAGTACTCAAGGCCGTATATAGAACAATAGTAGCTATGCGTCCCGGAGAAAAGTTCGGCGTCGCTACGGGTATCACGAGTGTAACCCCAACCCCTCGGTATTTCGGATAGAGCTTGTCTGTAACCACAAAGGGACAACCACAGAGTACTCCAACACAGTCTTCCCTCGTTACTTGGCCGCTGAAGGTGCGGCATTTGGGTACGGAGGTGTCTCCAATCATATGCGAAGCCATTCGCCGGATATCTTGCCATGTCCTTGAGACATGTCTGGGACACGACATCAATTCGAGATCTGGACTCCGGGTAAATCAAGTAACAACTACGGAGTAAACACCTCATGTATGACGTCTATGATTCTGAGATACCAAGATTGTGAGACACGGGATCACGAAAAAGCACTCATTCGGACCCTGGCTATTGCCACAATAGACATTCAAGATCTCAAGCGTGTAGATCATTGTTTGAGACAGACCTGAAGCTACATGCCCTCATGGAGGAAGAGAACTTCAGATCTCTGGGAAAATACATCGGGGCTAGTTCTTACTGAATCCATATTGGATTTACTTAAATCTCCTAATCTAGTTCTCTTCTCTTCTCTAGATTCCTTGATAGGCCCATCACGGGAATGATCATCCTTACTTCCTCCGCGAAGACCCGCATCCGTGCCGTGCGGGTTCGCGTTCGCCCATTACGTGGTCGTCCGGGGAGCCGGAGTGTTTTTGATTTCGAAGCTGAACTGAGATCTGTCTTGAAAATTGGTCGATCAATCAGCCTTCGGCAGATTATGGCTATTCACGGCAATGAGCTTGCTGAGCTGTAACTTTCCGCAGGGAAGTCTTGTGTTGGCGAAGCAAGGGACATGTCTAAGATGGGGAAGAGATCTTAAGACATGAATTAGGTCTTAGATTGGCATTTTTGCGGCTGGGGAACTTGCTATCAGACCAACAACAAACCTTCCTGGAAACGGAAAACCTGGCTATAGGCTCAGCACGGCACGTTAAGTCAGTCAGCAGTGTTGTTATTCAACCCCGTAAGTTGACCTTGCAATACGCGAACTGACACGTACGTTCAAGCTTTCGGAATCTTCACGGGTTCTGGTGATGGAATGGCGGGAGGTGGACACCGAACCAACACCCCCTCTCGGTTTCATCTGAGTCAACAGTCTTACATCCCCTCACGCGATTCATGCGTTGCTTGTGGTTCCATTTTCATCGACAGCAATTTTACTTGTAGATCTTGACGCTTCAATGCATGCTATCCAAGACATTCTTTCATGGCATGTAGATCCTCCGAGACCGATCGGATGTTGAGATACACTGGGAGAGGCTGGTGGGAACAACACAGAGAAGTCGGCATGTGACGAAGTTTTAAAGTAGTATAAATATCACATCATATCCCCAGTTACTCAGGTAGAATCACCATCACGCAAACCATCTTCCATTCTACTCAAGTACTACAACTCAACTACCATCCAACATGTCTATTCCCGGAAAATTCATGATCATTGTCGACGGAAAGCCCGTCGGCAATCCCCGAGACAACGGCGAGCCCATGATCCAAGCCCAGCCTGGCGACCCTGCTGCCATCTTTGAGCTTCGAGACGGTCGCTTATTCTCTGGCGAATGGGCTCTGGGCCGTCTCAACTTTGAGGATCGATCCATGATGCCCAAGCGCGTCTTATGGCGCAAAAGAGAGGAGGTCGATGACCTTCAACCCGTTCAAGTCGAAGAGTATGGCGGCCCCCCCGAGCTCAAGTTCTCAGGTATGCTTTATCATACGGTGACCTCAGCGGTTTCGAGATTGACAACAAGTGATAGGTTCTGGTCTGGCATTTATCGACGACAAGCTTTATTCACCTATCATGGAAGGTATGTTTTTTTCTACTGTCTTCATGATGCACGAGTACTAACACGTTTTTTGCAGGAGAGAACCAGCCTACGCAGATTCGCCCTGTGCCATTCTAAGTAGTGTTGATTGACAGACTGTTGAAGCAGGCTTTATTGGGGATTCGTTTTCGAGAAAAATGTCTTTGAAACATAGACTCAGCACTAACTCACTTGAGTCTACGTTCCATAAATGTGTCATTTCTTTTACTCTCGGTATACGAACTATGAAAAACTTGAAAGCAAATTCTTGATCCCTCCTAAGGCTCTTCTCATCTCTACCTTACGATCTTTATGGGGCTCTTAGACCCTAGTGAGACCCGCATACATGTTCACAGGCGTGTATAACAGCTCCGGCACTTCTATCAATGGGAAAGCATGTGAATCACGATGCCGGTTGTGAATATCACATACGACCATACCTATAGGAAAATACGGGATCCCGTCCGCTCTCCCATCGTCAAGCCTGTAAGGGGCGGATTAGTAGTTGGGTCGGTGACGACCAGCGAATCCCCGCTGTTGTATGTATTTTTTGAAGCTTTTATCGTTATGGTGGATATGCTTTTGCTCCATTCGTGATGGCGCAAATGTACTCCATATTGCAGGCCAGTTTCGCGTTGACATCTTGGGCTAGCACGGCAAAGGGTCAGTAACCGCTAACCTCAAATGGGATAGACTGTTGCAGTCAGGAAGTAACAGAAAACGCGGTCCCGTAATTGATCGCAACTTAATCGAGCATGGTTGAGAGAGAACAAGAAAAGGCCGAGACAATCACCACCAAGAAAAGAAAATCAGACGAAGCCCCCAAACAGCCTGCATCCAAGAAAACGAAGGGATCAACGACGGCCAAGTTAGAGAACTCACAAGTTGCAATGCCGCCTCCAAAGCCCCTGGGAAACTTGAAAGGAAAGTACGCCATCGAAACATTTTACCCCTGCTGCGATGACGAGTCTCAACGGAACCACGAAGAATTCTGCAGCATAGTCCTCTCCCCAGGAGACGGTGGGACGCTGCGTGGTTATCTCGGTTTGGGCCGAACGAACTACACAGCACTCTTCATCTTCGATAAATGCCCAACAGACGCTTCGACTCGCAAGGTGCCATTCACATGGCGCGGCAAGAGAACATCCAAAAAGTTTAAAATATTCCGGGGCGACAAAAACTATGGATGGGCGAAGTTTCTCGGGGATGGAAAGATCGAGATTTCTTTTGATAAGTTAAAGCTCGACCTCGTGGCCCAGAAAGGTCGGGGTATCGGCGAAAGGGGCAAGCATAATGCAGCAGCGTTTTGGGACGACTGGCATGAGTTGGACGAGGAAAGTCTGGACTTGCTTGATATTGACAGATTGATACATGATTGGTAATATTCGGAGTCATCTCCCTGTTGAAGTAGCTTGGACTTATTGGCTAGTCGTCGCTGTTTCTTTCAGCCGGTCTTACATCTTTGATCGATAAAGAATGCAGATTGCGAAAAGTTAAGGGGAATTTTTCCAGTTGGATTTATGGACACGACCAATGGTTCTAATCTCCTGTTCCGGATATTGAGTGGTGTTTTCGATCCAGAAGTATCAGACCACGAACATTGTTTTGAACCAGTGGCTCGGTCGAGACTGCGGAGTCAGCCTGTCAGCCACTTGCGGGATATATACATATAGCCTAAAGTTATTTGCCTATAATTGAACGCAATCGTCTTACTTCGCCCTCGTCGATCTTTGTCAAATACCTTCAAATCTGGTTCTCCTATCATGACTGGTTTGAAATATGATCCTGAATACCTCAAAGCTCTCGGGCCCGTTACCAAGGGACCCAAGCCCGAGCCATCCAGATCTGTGTTTGAGATCAGAAAGAGTACTGAAGATGTCATCCGGCGAGTCGTCACGAATTCTCCGTACCCCGATGGCGTGAAGGAGACTGTATTCAAAGTCAAAAGTTATGATGGTGCCGAGATTAAAGTCACCCGCTTCGCCTCAGAGGAGACGTTGGCCTCGGACAAGCCTACGCCAGCTGTGATGTACTTCCACGGCGGTGGTTATGTCTCTTGTTACGTGGAGCTGTTTGCGCCTCAAATCGCCCGTTTCGCGAATGATTCAAAGCTTCCATACTTCGCGGTGTCTTACCGGCTGGCGCCGGAACATCCTGCTCCCTCTAGTGTCGAAGACGGGTATGCGGCTCTTCAATTTGTGTCGAAGTCTGCGGCAGAGCTCAACGTCGATCCTAAGAAGATCGCTCTGCACGGCGACAGCGCTGGTGGAGGACTCGCCGCGGGTCTTGCTTTGATGGCGAGAGATCGGCAGCTTGATCCTCCGATTGCGAAGCAGCTTCTCGTCTACCCGATGTTAGACGACAGAGATCATGTTGAGAAAGACGATCCAATCCTTGACCTCATGGCCTGGAAGCCTGAAGGCGCCAAACTTGTATGGAATGCGTACGCCTCTGAGGTTCGACAGAAGGATGATCCGCAAGGTTTATCTTACGCGATACCAGCTCGGGCTGAAACGCTGCGAGGCTTGCCTTCCACTTATATCGATGTGGGAAGTCTCGATCTGTTTAGGGATGAGAATCTGGAGTATGCAAAGAGATTGGCTAACGAGCATGTTGAAGTCGAGTTTCATCTTTGGCCGGGGCTGCCTCATGGATTTGATGGAATGAGAGATATCAGCTGGTTCGCGAGGTGCCGGGAAAGTCGAATAAGTGCACTGAAAAGGATGTGATGGTCAGTTGATGGAACGAACATGTTCAGAGCATAAATCCCTCACTCAGGCTTAGTAGTAGGCCGATAGCACTCTTGGGATCTCAATATACACCTGGGTGTATAAAACCGCTCCATAGCATGCTGAAGGATGCAAGGTTTGGTGGCACATGAGGCCCAATCCGTCCTTGACGTTACTATTTGTACCTGCAGCTGCCTTCATATGAAGATGATCGGTTGCAACGCAACGTGCCAGTCGATTAAGCTTAGATCTTGTCCATAGATCATAGAGGATTCTTACACCGTCAAGCGCATTGTCGATTATGGTGCTTTCTGGGCGTATCGGACGACGGGGGTCTTGACCATCACAACTGCAGCAGATCAGTCCAACAACAAGCTTCGAGGCAGCCAAGAAAGCCGTTAGGAAAATTTTGTGCACTTACTGGTTGGACCCCGGTTGTCCAGCATCGAAAGATGCCATCGCATGGAATAACGGCAATTCGGGCTATGAGTTGCTTGATCAGTCAAGGTATGAGACGATGGCATTGGTTGGGGAGCAAGATGTTGACCAACACGGCTAATAGGGCCGATGCACGTAAAATGACACTTGTACTACCAGAGCCGCGTCAATAGAAATGCGGGTGAATGTGGAGAAAACATGGAGTAAATGTCATCAGACGCAATAAACTCTCGTCTAAGAATTGACATTGCAACGCTACCGTCCCATGGCGAAATTCCCATTGACGCGTTATATTCTCCGGCTGATCATCGTACCCCTCAATTCAATTCATCGGTGAAGAGCACCACCGAGCCCCAGACTTTTTGATCGACACGATTCGGGAGTGTGAGCCGTGGGGGAGCTATGTCATGTCATGTAATGCGGGTCATCAGTGGCCGAGATGACTTTTATGGTGGCATTGAATGCGCGTATATAAGTTCTGGGTGATGCTGTGCACGCGAGCTTGAGATTGGTCAGCATAGCAAGTCACGATGAAGTTTCTTTCACTTTCAGCTGTCGGGCTGCTTGCCTTGGCTGGTTTGTCAATTGGACAAGAGACAAAAGACGTTCCAATTCAAGACAATGGACTCACAAACATTGTTGAATGGTGATTCACTCGATTGCCGCCTTTAAATCCAGCTAACAAACAGCCCAGGGACGACCACAGTTACCTAATCAATGGCGAGAGGATCTTTGTCTTCTCGGGTGAATTCCACTACTGGCGTCTGCCTGTGTACGCTTTACCCCCTCCGCAAACCAAGCGCGAATCTAACATTTATAAGGCCCGAACTCTGGCGCGACTTGCTCGAAAAGATCAAAGCCGCCGGCTTCACAGCGTTCAGCATCTACAACAGCTGGGGCTATCACGAAGCGACTCCAGGCGTCCTCGACTTCGAAAATGGCGCCCACGATTTCGTGTCCATCATGACCCTTGCCAAGGAGCTCGGCCTCTACCTCCTGATCCGTCCTGGTCCCTACGTCAATGCCGAGGCTAACGCCGGAGGTTTTCCTCTGTGGGTCACCACCGGAGAGTACGGCAAGCTTCGAAACGATGATCCTAGATACACTAAGGCTTGGTCTAAGTATTGGACTGAGATTTCCAAGATTATTGAGCCGCATCTCATTACCAATGGCGGCAATGTTGCCATGTTCCAGGTATGTTTGTAGTGTTGTGAGTCGTAGACTAAACTGACGAGTGCAGATTGAGAACGAGTTGGGCGGTCAGTGGAAGAATGACGACAAGAGAATCTTGAACGAGCCTACGGCCAACTACATGCAACTTCTCAAGGAGTCCGCTAGAAAGGCCGGCATCGATGTTCCTGTATTCCACAATGCGCCTAACACTGTGAGTTCTACCTCTCCAAATACAAACTGTGGATAGATGTTGACAGGTCGGCAGCGCACATTCTCTTGGTCCAACGACTTCGAGCGCAATGCAACCGGCAACGTCGATGTCACTGGTGTCGACAGCTACCCCTCCTGCTGGAGCTGCAACCTCGACGAGTGCACCGGCACCAACGGCGAATATGTCCCTTACAACATCCAAGACTATGTCACCTACTTCAACAAGCAATCTCCCCGTCAACCTCACTTCTTGCCCGAGTTCCAGGGCGGTTCTTACAACCCATGGGGCGGCCCAGAGGGCGGTTGCCCTGGCGATATCGGCCCTGACTTTGCCAATATTTTCTACCGTGACTTGCTCGCACAGCAAGCCACCGCCATTTCTCTGTACATGATGTACGGTGGAACCAACTGGGGTTGGTTTGCTTGCCCTGTTGTTGCAACTAGCTACGATTACTCTTCGCCCATCTCTGAGAACCGCGCTATCTGGGATAAGTACTATGAGACCAAGTCGCTAACTCTCTTCACCCGAGTTGCGCATGATCTTACCAAAACCATCCGAGTTACCAACAGTACTTCTCTTTCCACGAACGATGCCATCTTGATCTCCGAGCTTCGACATGAGGAAAATGATGCTGCTTTCTACGTTGCCCGACACGATCACTCACCTTCCGGTACCAAAGAGACCTTCAAGCTTCACGTCAAGACATCTGAGGGCAAACGTATGTTTGGGTATTCTGCTTTACGTCTCGTCTACTGACAGCTTTTAGTTACCATTCCTCAGAACGATGGCGCAATCACTATCAACGGCCATCAGTCCAAGGTTATCCCAGCTGACTTTCACTTCGGCAAGAAGACACTCCTCTACTCGACCGCCGAAGTCCTCACTTACTCAATCATCGACAACAAGGAGGTCATTGTCCTTTGGCTTCCTGAGGGCGAGCAAGGAGAGTTCACCCTCAAGGGACACACCGAGCTCAAGCATGACAAGTCTCTCAATGGCGTCAAGGTGAAGGCGGGCAAGAAGAGCGTTACTGTCAACTACACTCAGCAGAAGGGTCTTTTCGCTCTCAACCTGAACGATGGCTCCACCATTGTTCTGGCTGACCGAAAGACTGCTTACAATATCTGGGCGCCTACACTGGATAACAACCCGTTCGCGCCCGCCAACAAGACTGGTGAGTTCTGCAGATGAAACAACAGACGTTAAAGACCCATATTGACTTTCACAGTTCTGGTTCATGGTCCCTACCTCGTTCGCCATGCCACCATCAAGAACGGACAACTCAACATCCAGGGCGATCTCGACAGCGCCACCGAAATCACTGTCTTTGCTCCCGAGTCTCTGAAGTCCATCGCTTGGAACGGTGAGAAGGTCAAGGTTTCGTCGAAGCAAGGCCACAAGTACACCATCAAGCTCAAGGGTCCTTCAAAGGTTACGTTGCCCAAGCTTGACTCCTGGAAGTATGCCGACAGCTTGCCCGAGATCAAGACCGACTACAAAACTTCATCCTCGGCCTGGATTGGTATGCATTACCGCAGTAGCTAAGATGACTCGATGTACTGACATTGAATAGTTGCTGATAAGAAGAACACCACCAACGCGGTCCTCGTTCCCGACCTGAAGAACCCCGTGCTCTACGTCGATGAGTACAAGATCCACTACGGAAACCACATTTACAGAGCGACTTTCCCCACCACGAGCTCTGCCCCTACTGGTGTTTACCTTAACCTCACAGGTGGCATGGCCTTTGGCTATTCCGTCTGGCTGAACTCGGATTATATCGGATCTTATCTCGGCGAAGCCACCACTGGCCATGCAGGCCAAGAGTTCTCCTTCAAGAACGCCACTCTGTCCAAGAAAGAGAACGTTCTTGTTGTTCTGATGGATAACTCAGGCCACGATCTACGTGACGGCGCTCTTGATCCTCGTGGTATCACCAACGCCACTCTTGTTGGCCCCGCCAAGGGGGGTTATAAGTTCTCTGAGTGGAAGATTGCTGGTCATGCTGGAAGCGTTGAAGGCGAGGTCATCGATCCCATCCGCGGTCCCCTCAATGAAGGTGGTCTCTACGCTGAGCGTATCGGCGCTCACTTGCCCGGTTTCTCTGACAAGAAGTGGAAGTCATACTCTTCCAAACAAGGAACCCTCGTCAACCCTTCGGCTGGAGTCCGTGCCTACAGAACGACGGTCGATCTTGATATCCCCGATGGCCTAGATGTCGGTGTCTCGTTCAAGCTTACGGCACCTTCCAACACAACCTTCTCTGCCACGAAGAAGGGCTACAGCAACCAAGTCAGAGTTCTTCTGTTTGTCAACGGCTACCAGTACGGACGATTCAACCCTTACATTGGCAACCAAGTCTCCTTCCCTGTTCCTCCTGGTGTTCTGAACTACAATGGAGAAAATACCATCGCCGTTACGGTCTGGAGTCAGAGCGCTCAGGGTGGTGAGGTCAAGGTCGAGTGGGAGGTAGACTACGCTCACACATCCAGCTTCGATGTCAAGTTTGACAGCAAGTATCTCCGCCCAGACTGGACCAAAGAGAGACTGCAGTACGCTTAGGAAATTAGCAGAGTTAAAAAGTGGTGTGAGAGTAAAACATGTTAGTTATTAAGACATCAGTCATGTTAGCTAGAACATAATTTAGTGAAGCTCGGTCGGCGTCACGAAGACCCAGTTCTTGTCAGCTGTAACGGGTAGTCCTTCCTTCTTCTGAGCAATGGTGTTGTTCTTGATCATGCCGTCAATCTGCTCCCTGTAAGCAGCCTTGCGATCAACCCAAAGGTGAATACCGCCACGCGCAACATCAACACCCTGGAAAATCATGGGACCATCACTATCAGGAGTATCACCACCAGCAAGAATAGGCCTGTTCCACTCATCGATGTAGGTGAGAATGGCAGCCCACTTTCCAGACTTCCAAGTAGCTGGGGCCCAGAGCCATGGAGTCATCTCAGCTTCAAGGTTCTGCTTCTGTGTCTTTTTAGTGTAGTCACCATCCTCAATCTGTTTGCGAGCAGTAGTGATCTCGCCCTTCTTAGTCTTGAGGAAGAGAGATACACCGATGACGTTCTGGGGAGGGACGTTGTAGCCATATTTAGGATCGCTAGCAACCATGCGGACAAGCTCTTCGGAAGCAGCGCTGACCACGTAGACCTTAATGCCGTTGGCCATCAAGCGGTTGTACAGCTCGACCTGGCCCTCGAAGATCTTGGGAGGCGAGACTTCAGTAGCTGTAACCTTGTCATCCTCGAAATAGGTGGTGGGGATGGTCTTGTTGTAGGCCATCAGCTCATCGACGTAGCCCTTGAGCTCACCGAGAGGGAATCCGCTAAAGATTTGCGCAGCCCAAGGATAGCAGACAGCATCCTCGATCTCACAGAGGCGCAAGTAGTAGCTGTATAGCGACTCCTTGTGCTTCTTGGTGTCCTTGAAAGGGACGAGCTTGAGAGCAGGGTCCATGGTCTCTCGTGTAAGAACACCCTTGTTCTCAAGGTAAGGAAGAAGTGATTCCTCCAAATCGAATTGATAGCTAGTGTTGTCCATGTCGAAGACAGCATAGCGACCATTGTTGGCATTGCGAGCAATCATCTTGTTGAGAGCTTTGGCAGCTTTGGCAGGCCAATGCTTAAGCTCGGGACCCTTGAGACCATAGTTGCCATTGGAGGGAGCGGCAGCAGAGGGAGTGCTCAGGCTTGCCAGCCAAAGAGCATTGACAACGAGATTGATGCTGGGTCTCATGATGAAAGGCTTGAGGTGAGGTGAGAAGTGAAAAGCGTGAGGAACCTGCTTTTTCAGCTTCGGCCTGGGATGGGATTGACAGAGTAATTAAAGAAGTCCATGGCCGTCAAGGTTTAGCGGCCCGACAATTATTCCATACGAAGTCGCTGATAGTGTTACAAGAGGTAATATCCGGTGGTTGGTCTGACTGGACGATCTTGGACTATTTGGTCACGCTACCCCGCTTACACGTTTGTTGAGGGGTTTTAGTCGCTGTCGAGATAACGGCGACAGGAGCTTGTTTCTGTCGATAGAGGTCTCGATTATTTAATGTCGCAGACTGTATCGTCAATCTAATACTATTAAGGCTTCTGTTCGACATCAGATCGATCTAAACCATGCCCATATCTCGCAGCTGAAGGTGGTGATGTCAGCCACTTTCCTGTCTAGGCCAAGTTTCCTAGAGCAGGGGCGGGTTGTACAGTTCAATAAACGGCCAAGATCTGCGTCATTGACACGAGGAGCAAGAACGGCATTCGGCATTAGTTCAAGGCTCCAAGCCAAGAACCCTTTTACTCCAATGATGTAACCCTGGAAGGGGCCCCAGGGCGTTTTCTAAACCGCTAACGGGTAGCTAACAGGGGGTTCAAGGTTTAAGCTTGCCAGCGTCGGGGCTCCGAATTCTGCTTATCGCAGGGAGAAATACTTGGAATTAAATTGCGCTCAATTGGCAGGACGGGGCGCCAATGCTTGGGTACAAGGGTTCCTAGCTGCGTGTTGGGTTTATTCCTGATTTGTAGAACTCTTTGGTGACTTCTTCGGCGAAGGCGATGGCTTTTTATCGCTTGAAACTCCGATGGCCTCCAAGAAATCCTCGAATGCCGCTTGGGGAATCATTCCGCCGCTTGCGTTCTTGTGACCGACAGCGAACCTAGGTCCCAGTCGCTCTCTCAGCGTATCGTCGTCTGCCCCATCTGCTGCTCGACTAAGAATTTCCGGGATGTTGACAGGAGGATCTCTGCCCCTGGCGCACGTTGGAACGCGACACGAATAGTTGACAATGCCTCGTGCATAGCCTTCATTCGCTATCATCACGACTTGGAGATCTCTTGAAAACAATTGACGAGTCTGGCGTTCTGCAATGAGAGCATGAATCTGTGCTTTCGATTTGATGCGGATCACTGCAATTCTTTTATCAGCAGAAAACAAGGGCACCACGCGATCGGCCTCTTCATTTCATGTATCACTTTGGCCCTTGCTTCCTTCAAGAACTTATTCTTGACAAGCTCTATAGGTGATGAGGCCTTAATCAATATTTTCCAGGCTCTAGGGACATCGTAGGCTGCAGTTCGGCGAGGAGCATTGGTGAGCTTTGCACTATTATTTATCGTCGTTCTGGTATGCGTCCCAAACGTCGCTTCCATGTTCGGGAATGGCGAGCGCCATTTGGTTGCCTTACCCAGATCCCCATGCGTTCCCATGGCACATAACCACCCGCATGATTCCTCGACTCCGTCGTGTAAGTCGCGGCAGATAAGATACGTCAACAGCCAGCTTGTAGCTATCGGTGGGCATTTGTTCGCCGTCACTAATATCGCCCCCTTAGGGTGGTCATCGTCTTCTGCCAGATGTTGGTCAATGACTAACGCGCGATGGGGTGAGTCGACAACGGGCTCTGATTTCCATGAGCCTTGGTCGAGGACAATGATGTAAGATGGATTGTAAGCTTCCATGTTTGCACGAGAATCCCCACAGTGTAGCAAGCTGTTTTTGGTCATCGTGTAGCACGATATCAGCTTGGAATCGAGGCCGAGCAAGATGAGGGGTTTTCTTATGATAGCTCCAGCAGCAAGACCATCGGCATCCTTATCAGGGACGATAAGAGTCTGTTTACCAGCGGCAGCACTATAGGAGATTAGCTTAAGTGTCCTTTAGACGTGTCGTTCTCATCCCGACGATTGGCGTGGTAACAAGAAGGGGCAGCCGACCGTTCACGGAGGAAGTCCTTTGCTTTCTCAATTTGTCTTGGGGCCAGGCCAGATCACGTTCTCGTCCTGATTCCTCCGCGGTTCAGCTTTGTGATAATCCTGTTCAGGAAACATCGGCTCGCACCAGGATAGTACTGAAACTTCTTCCGGGCCACAATCGACTTTTGAAATTGCCGAAATATTGTGAGGCATGGCCCATTTTTGCGAGATATAGGGAACAAGTAAGTTTGTGCATTGTAAGTCTTTAGGGCTGACGGAACTGATATAAGGCGAAGCATGGTTCCGGTGATAATATGAAAGCCTTGAAAGACATCGACGCCTGGTATCATGAAAAACAGGAGAAAACGTGGCGTGCAGCACAGCCACGATACTCGCCACATGTCATGCTCTAGGGTATTGCTCTTCTCCAGTTGAAAATACCATTATGCCAAAAAGGAAGGTACCTTTACATCAAGGAAGGCAGGTATCTCAGGTTTAACCTCTTTACATCTCCTTACCGTCTAATAGTCGTGATCGAACACCATCGATTGTTGAAATTATTATGGATGTATGTATCATATCACATTGATATACTCTGTATTTCAGTTGCCGGTTACCCACCATATCCTACCATGAACATGAACGCCAGGAACAAGAGCCGGGGGACTTCTTCACGCATTGCAGCCAAGCGATGGCCCCTTTAATTAAACTACTCAGATAATTAGCTGTGAAGTTTGCCAGTGTGTCCGTCCATGAGGCTGAACGCATGCGGAAAGGTGCTCCTGAGGAATGCGGACAAGACGCCAAGCATCTGGGGCTCGACCGCCAGCCACCGCACCAATTGCTTGGCTTCCAGGGGCTCAGGAATGCAGTGACTTCAGACTTTCCACTGAGTTCATTCAACATGATGGCTTCTCAAATGATCGTCTCGAAATGAGAACAGCGGCTGAAGGTTGTCGTCTCTCGATCGAGTGATAGAGCCAGGGTTCTCAAGCCTCTGGCGATCGATGGCGTTGTAGGGGCTTTTGTTCCTGACTACTTAAGTACTACGTTCTTCCCTCACGGTTGTCTTTGCTAACAAGTACAGCAAACATACACCGAAGCAATCATGAAATATTCTGTTTTTGTTTTTTTCTTTGCCGCTGTTGGAGTCACTGCTCAAGCAGCAAACTGTAGTGAAGTAGAGGCCTGCCTTAAAGCTGGTCCGAAAAACGCACGTCTTTCTTTAATTGTGTAAAATGGCAAGCTAACCTGTATCTCTAGACTGGTGCTTGCGGTGATAATGAGCGATGCCTTTGCGGAACACGTAAAGAGATTGCCAAGTAAGTCGCGTCTTTTTACAAATGGCTCTGTGTTGCTGATATGTCTCCCATTAAAGTTGCTACGCCAATTGCGACAAAGATTCGAGAGCGAAACCGGCCGGACAAGCTGTTGAGAAGTATTGTTCCGTATTGAGAAAGCGCTTGAAGCCATTGTATAAGTGAGCGCTGTCGACAGCACTTTGAGACCGGCATTCTCTGGCAGGAGTCTTTTTATGTTACCATCTGTATTATAGGTAAATAATTGGCGGCATCATATAAAAGCCAGGAAGTTATTAATGAAAATTCGACATCAAAACAAAACAAACCTGTCCACCACTGGATCGCACCACAATATTATTTGAGAACCAGCCAGAGGCGCATTAATCACTGTATGAAGTAGGTATATAATTATTAAAAAGATACAAAAGGAAATGCTGCTTTTAGCAGCTGGCTGGAACTCTCCCGCCGGGAATTGAACCCGGGTCTCAAGCGTGACAAGCTTGCATACTGACCACTATACTACGGAAGACGAAACAGGCTAATGCCTGCTGTAGTGAGTTCGATACCGCATCGGGCAAAATTAAAACTTATATACCCATTACCAAAATTGACACAATTTTGGCAGCAAAGCTCGGAAAACCGACGCTGACAAAGTCAAACCACCAATCACAATGGTTGCTCTGGTAAACTCTCTTCCGAGACTGGGGATGACGCAACATCAAGCTGATTTATGCTCGCTTCAGCTACCCTGGATTTTACACTGGGTCAAAATCGGCTCGGAACTTCGGAGGTAGACATATATATAAACTTTTGGCGGTGCTGAGATCCAAGGAAGACGAATTCTCTTTGCTAATGTCCTAGTACATTTGATAAACAGTTCGAATTGTATTTCCTTTAATTGCCATTATGTCAGAACCTACGGAGCCCGGTTCGAGGCGTCATCCTGCCCATAAAGTCCTCGAAGAACTCGGTCTTGTATCACTCTATCGATCAAGCAAAGATGTCAAGATCCTTTGCGCGCAGAGATTCATCCGTCTTTTTGCCTATGGTGGATCTACCTTAGTTCTTGTAGCCTACCTGCGAGAACTCGGCGTATCGACAACCCGCGTCGGCTTGTTTATGACCTTGACATTGGTTGGTGATATCATCATCAGCTTCCTGCTTGCACTATTCGCCGATGGTGTTGGTCGACGCGCAGTCTTGGCCCTGGGAGCAATCTTGATGACTGCAAGTGGAATTGCGTTTGCCACCTCTAGCAATTACTGGATTTTGCTTGCGGCAGCAATCTTGGGTGTCATCAGTCCTGGGTAAGACAAAGCATAATGTTTTGGCGTTGTCGGTGTTGACAATCAGCAGAGGCAACGAAATCGGACCTTTCCGTGGTGTTGAAGAGAGCATCATTGCCCACCTTACTGATGCAGCTCGTCGAGGCGATGTCTATGCTTGGTACAGTCTCTCTGGCACGGCTGGCGGCGCCTTTGGTCTTTTGACCTGCGGTTGGATTATTCATCACATGCGCGTCAATCTCGGCATGGATGTTGTTGAAGTGTATCGCAACGTCTTCTATGGATACTCTGTGATGGGAGTGCTGAAGTTGATCTCGGCCATCATCTTGAGCTCTGCAGTTGAAGTTCACCATGAGCCCGAGCAAGGATCTCCAGCGGACAACGGCGAACAAGCACCTCTTCTTCCCGACAACACTCAATCTCAAAGCGATGATCAGCCTCAACCCAAGAAACAACTTCGAGCTCGAATTTCACGTGACAGCATCCCGACTGTTGTGACCCTTTGCACTCTCTTAGCTTTGGATAGCTTTGCTTCAGGACTGGCTCCTCTGTAAGTACTTTGATACAAGAGACCATCCTTATACGAGAGCTAACAGTCACCATAGCTCATGGATTACTTACTACTTTAAATCCTACTACCATATCGAGGAAGGGAAGCTAGGTTCTATCTTCTTCACCACGAGCATCATTGCCGCTGCATCGATGTTGGTAGCATCTTCTCTTGCCAAGCGGTTCGGCAATGTTCGAGTAAGAATCCAATGATGATAGCAGCCTGAATTGTCTGACTGACCTGACTTGCAGACTATGGTGTTTACTCACTTACCATCAGCGGTCTTCTTGGCTCTGGTCCCCATCCCCAACGACGTCCACCTGTCGGTTCTCTTCCTCATTCTACGATCTTGCACTCAGTCAATGGATGTCGCACCCCGCTCAGCCTTCCTCGCCGCTATAATCAAACCAAAGGAGCGAACAGTTGTAATTGGTCTCATTAACGTAGCCAAGACAACTTCTCAGAGCCTTGGGCCTCTCATCACTGGACTACTTGCGGATTCGAACTATTTCTGGGTCTCTTTCATCATGGCTGGATCTCTCAAGGTATGCTATGATTTGGGATTCCTTGGACTCTTTAAGCATCATGAACAAGTGGAGGCAAAGCGAAGCCACGAGGAAGAGGGAAGCCAGTGAGTTACAACCTCGATACTCTGTGTTTTGATCGGTTCAAGAAGGAAAATGGAACGAGGCATCAGATTCTTATCGGTAATCAGTATGGAGACTTTAGTGCAATGCCTAGGTATCTCAAGCGTCATATTTTAAATAGATATGTTAAGCCAATATACTTAGGGATTTAGAAAGTAATACATAAGTATCCTTAATAACGATAAGTGTTTTAAGTTAAATAAAATAATATTTTTCTAAGAACTTCATTAATAACCTTATTTATAGTTGCCTAAAGTTGAAAAAGCCATCTGTCTTAGACTTCAATCTTGAAGCTTAATCTCCTAGAAGTAGCCACTGACGAAGTCATATATGGCATAAAGAAACCCAGTCAAAGTAAAATCACGTTAAGTTTCTTCAAAGAGGAAAAAAAGATTGCCAAGCCCAGGAATTGAACCAGGCTGACTTCCGCGCAGACGCATTCATCACGACCGGTAGATGTGTTGACCATTACACCAGCTTGGTGTTTCTATCGTTATTTAGTGCCATATAAATCATGCTTATATTTATGCTCGGAACTGATGCTGCCCACGTTTCTAGGATATACTGCCCCCTAATGCTTCCGCATTGATATGTGATCTTTCACCGACAGACTTCTTCACGACTATAACAAGCTCGTCAAGCGTGCCCAAAAATCTCACAAACGAATAAACCGCTGCTGACCACTGTCTCCCTTCTTGCTTTGCTAGGTATTCCTTAGAGTTGCCCTCATCTTGAAAGTCTCCCCGTAACCTCCTGAACTGGATCGCCCGGCCCACCAAAGGCGTTGGCAAAATGGCTGGGAGTGGCTCTCCAGACATCAGCGAATGCTGGAGAAGGGTCATGGTTGACATCAGGTCAGCGATCAGGTTTTCGTCGCCTGCGCTCACGCGATAGAAGAACCTCTCGCGGACTGGGAGTGGTAGCTTCGTCGCGGTCATGCTAAACTGTGCCAGGAACACGTTGAGATTGTTGCAAAGATGGTTGGCGCGGCTGAGCGTTTCAGTATCGATGTTTGAGGTTGAAAACTCAAATTTGGTCTTTAGGATTGGAAGGGCGATGGAGTTGAGCAGCTCTTCGGTCGTGGTAGCCTGCTTCTCGATGACCTCGACGAAATCATCAGGAGGCGAGCGCCACACTGAAATCAGAAGGGCATAGCGGTCTCTAATACTCGACAACTGGCTGGATAGGATTTGTCGATAATGTCTGTTTCCGGAAAGGGGTCGGGGGAGAAGCGCAACAAGGACGGCTGCGCCAAAACCGATAAGGACAAGAAGGATTCGCCGCCAGAAGACCTCGTACCCGACTCCAGGATTGCCGTAACTGGGAATATGCGTATCCACCCAACTATAAGACATGACCATGTACATAGTTGACGTAAGCATGATACCTGCGGCCATATGTTGTGGCGGAGCAAACAATCTCCACCACATCATACCGATAATAGCGACTGCCATGATGGCAGCTAAGCCGTATGGGTTTCCAGGACCATTACCAGATCCAATGTACCAGCACAAAAGACCCAGGATACCTCCAGCTACAGTGCCGAGGGTACGAATGAGAATTCCAGATGTGAAGTCGGACATATAAGGTTCGAGAGCCATCTGAGCCATGATCAGAGCCCATAGTCCCTTTTCGCGATAGTAGAAGCCAGCTGACGATGGTATCACTGCAGGAACGGCGAGGGCAATAGTCAAGACGAGCGCACGAAGAGCGTGAAGACCCTCGACACCCGTAAAGAAGTTGATAAGCGCCAAGAAGACCAGACTCGATTTGCTTCGTCGGCGGCTCGTCGGCTGTTCCATACTTTCCAGAATGGTGGCTGTTGTTCTTGCGCCTTCAGGGTCTTCCTTTTCCTTTCGCTTCTTGCTGAAGAGACCTCGCTTCTTCTCAGGTTTGGAAATGACGGACATCGTTCGAGTGAGATCGTTCGAGTTGGGAATCGTGGAAGGCGGTGCATCTTGGGACAGGCCGAGCGAGAAAATGTGCTGGAGGCCTTTGGGTAGCCATACTCGCTTCGATGTTCGCACCCTCTCAACCTCGATAGCTCTTTCGAGAACCCCTCCAATATTCTTTGTCAGGTTCATGAGTCGTTCCTGGTATAGAAGACCAGACATCAAGCCAAGCAGAGGAGGTGCGCGGTGATCGTTGTAGATAACCTTGCCGTTGGCATCGAAGAGATGAGCATGAGGGGCGATCAGTTGCTCTGCAGCTGTGTCTTCGAAGTCTTCGAGAGCTTCTTGCAACGATGCTAGGATCTGCTCATGTTGGCTGATTGTGTCGTTTTGAGAAGCTCCCGAGAATGCTTCGATGATGGCATTGACGCTTTGCTCGAGTGTCTGCAGCAGGGGAGTAGCGCATAAGGACAGTGCATCGATGGCTTTGACAATCATCTCTTCAGTATCAGGGTGTCTTGTAAGCTCACGTAGATCAGCTGCTTTCGCAATATGATAAGCCAGAGGGTGCTTCTCGTTGTCAGACTTCTCAAGTTCCTCAGCCGCTTTGGTTAGAGCTTCATCTTTGGCAAAAAGCTCCTCGCGAGAGATTGACATCTGCAATAACTCGCCGAAGGATACCAGTACTTGTCGTAGTGGTTCTTGAAAAGACTTGATGTCTTCAGGACTCCATCGTCGATAAGAAAAGTCCAAAGGTAGAAACTTGACGGCACTTTCGACGCTCTTGAAGGACACGGCCAAGGTACTC